TGCAGCTATGCATTGGAGTCACCGTAGCCTTCCTTCATGAGATGCATGTAAGCATACTCGTCTTAAAACTCCGATTCTATGATCTAGTTTCCTGGCTGCAAACCGACATTCTGGGATAAGTTATAAACGATTTTTACGACAATTTTGTGAGCAGAGGATAATGAGTAGGAGTGAGCTACTCTTCTCTGCTCACATTAGGAAGAGGATGAGCAAGATGGTGGCCAACCGTTTAATACGACCCCCCCCCCCCCTTTCCCCAGCATTATCGTTTGCCTACCGTGAGCATGACATAAAAGCTCTATCAAGCATAACTAATTATATATTCGTAATTAGCATATCAAATAACCCCTGTGGGCCAAGTTTCAGCGAATTCTGAGGTTTCCAGATATTGAGCCCCTCAAGTGAGATGGTTATTTTCGAACACGCTTACTTTGTTTCCTGCACTCACAAGGAACTACTCCATCTTTGCTAACATTAAGAATACTTTAAACAACTTCTAAACCATTATTAGGACCAAGCCAAAATAATATTGTTTGTCCCTTTTTCGCTTTCACTATATTAACTAGAGAGGACCAATCAGGCTCAAATTACTTTCGTGAAAGTTACGAGGTTTAGGCTACCGATTATATTCATTTTTGCCGTCTCTCTCGATTCACGTAGTCCGCAGACTTAGCATGTTTCCGTAGCCCAATATCTTCGCAGTGTTTTCCATTTGCATAGGTGAGGAAAAACGACTATCTCCCTAAAAGAAACGGCTTCGAACGAGATTCCTACTGTTTGGAGAAGAAAGTTTAGTGGTGGAACACTGTTTGATCGTTAATAACTCCGTTGCTTTCATGTCTTTCGCCGAGCTTTAGGCACCATTCTGTAGAGCTAGGTTCAACTTAGATTTGTGGTATAGAGCGAATCATCGACCGCTTTTCATTACTGTAGGATTACGGTATGAACTTCTGACATGTGGTATATTGTGAAATATGGCATTTGACAAAATTCTTTTCAAAAAATCTGAAAAATCGTGTACTAAGGTTTTCGCGCTCGCTGATTCCATAACACAACTTTTTACGAGTGTTTTTAGCTTTTTTGACGGTGTAATCGCATTTTTGACAAATGCTGGAAATTCGGTTATTAAGGTTTACCTGGGATAACCTTGAATAGAAGCGTCACAGCTAGGCATAAATTTCATATTCGAACTCAGCGGCTTCCATTTCCCATGTATAAAAGTTTTTGGCTTGTTTGGTTTTGTTCCGAGGCAGAATATGGCTTTAATGGCTTAAAATCCTTGTCAAAGTTCCTACCGTAATCCTACCGTAATGAAGAGAGATGGACGACTCGCTCTATACCATAAATTCAAGCTAGACCTCGCTCTATAGAATGGTGCCTCAAGCTCGGCGAAAGACATAAAAGCAAGGGAGTTATTAACGATCAAACAGTGTTCACATTTTTTTGGGACACCCTGTATAATACTACCGGAATGAACACGATGAAATATGTGACTGCAGGTATTCCAACACAACACTCGCAGACATTGTTCATCACTAAAACCAACTTCAATTAACCAAAAATTGCGCAAAAGTAACAAGTCATTTCTGTGATTCCTTAGCCAGCCTCTATATTTGAGACATTTATTAGGTTCTTAGGAGGTATTGGGTTGTTTCAAAAGTGCCACCCAATTTCGAACTTTGACTTTGATTCACCGAAACTCTTCTCAGAAATAATCTTTGCATTTGCTATAAACTGTTTTACAATCTGCAAATCTTCGGATATTCTGCGCCTCTTTAAGATTATTGCGGTAACGGTGGAGAAGATTCTGTAGGCGAAAATCGATGAACATCTCCTTGTAGAAACCTTCACTTTGCAAAAGCATAACTTGATTTGGAATAGAGTTGCACAAGCACTGCTCACAGTGTAGCCCATAGTCGACTGAGTAGTACCGCTAACTTTGGATTTCATCAAACTCTTTCATAAAAATTTTGTGCTGAAAAATACGAAAGGACCCCCTCATTTTCCTTTTTCTGAGGCGACAAAAAGTGCTATTTTTTTTGGCATTTTTGACTTTGTTCGCCATTGACAAACCAGAAAATCTTTTCGTTTTACTAGTAGCAGTTGTTCTAGCTCTACTTACTATATAAAGTAAAAGTTCCGCGACTGCAATATGTTTGTGATTTTTATGCGACTTGAAGGGACCATAAAGACAGGTTATGTTTGAGCTAAAAATTTGTAGGTTCAAAATTTTTCTGAAATCATATCTCGATGAGCGTCTCGTAGCACAAGTCTCCAGCAAAAAATATGTATGTTTCAAAAGAAATTATTTCTTTTGGCTGTAGATTTCACCGCGATAGAGCAAAGACAAAAATTTCACATTTGTTTCGCTGTCTTTTCAAAGTACGCAACCACACAGCGAACAAAGATCTATGAAAACGAAAATATGCCTGAAAAACAAGAAGAAAAGAGCTTATGAATGATATACCGTCGAGTCATTTGTAACTTAATATACGTAATGCACACTATACACGCTGATTCACGAACTGCAAAACTAAAACCCGCTCATTTCCAGTGAATTCACTTTGTTTGCTTGTCTCTTTTGTTTTTGTTGGTCACATGTTAGCCAGTATAACACATTTCAACACTTCGTTAGACTAGAAACTATTTCACTGGAAAGTTACTAGTAAGGTTGCCGTCGCCAATAGGGCATAGTGTGCAGTCTCACATATTAAGTTACAAATGACTGGAGGTTAAGCACTGTTTATGAAAAATGATTCCAAAATCGGCAGTTCAAAAAAAGGTATCCAAAACGGGTAGAACTTTTGAAACAATCCAATACTTCATTTTGTACGTATCATCTATTCTACGACTAGGAGACGCGTGACCGCATTGCGGACATTGTTCATAACATGTTTGAGTTTCTTCTTCCCTATTTCTAAAGAGTGAATAAACGTGGACGAGATAAATGACAAGTATAAACCTGCTAAGTACACGATTCAGCTTGTTTAGACAATGTGTGCAAAGCGGTCTCGCGTCTCGTAGTTCTAGAACGATTAATACCTAAGTGTGCTTTTGCGGACCGTGAGCCTGCAGCATTTGAGACAAAAAGGCATAACACGTGTTAAAGCTCGAGGCAATTACCAGCTATTCACTTTTCCTGTCAGTACTGTATCCAGCTGAGTCTCCTCAATCCACATGTCGATGTTCGATAAACTAGATAGTTAATAGAAAAACTGAATCGTTTGATGGAGAATTTCTGTTGGATTCGAATGAAACTTTGCAAATACTTACACAATATAACCAGATTATGAAGAAACGAGAAAAGATGCAGACTGGCATTTTCCGTCCTGTGTCAATCTAAGCGTGAGTACTGGACTTTTAGCGAACTGAAGTAGATTGTTATAGGAGGCTCTGCCTATGGGGCAGACGAATATATTAGGTAGGCCCCAAAGTTCTTGCGCATCATACAAAATCATAACGTCTTCGTATCTCGATGGATTCCTTTAAATGCGATTTCTAAGAAAGCACAGATCAAGCTCTTAACAGCAGTAAGCTGCCAGTGAGATAGTATGAGAGAATCCGAGAGATAGAAACAACTGAACAAAATTACTCAAAACTGACAATTTTCAAGCAGGGACACAAATCCGAAGTGTTTTTGCTTAAGAGAGAAATTTTACATGTTACACTGGCACCCTTCTTATAAATTAGTATGAGACGGTTCGCTAGTTAGAGGCGTGAAGAGAATTACTTCAACTACGCAATCTCTGAGCATGCTCAAAAAAAAAACTTCAAACGCTACAGCAGAGAACGAAGCAATCATAAACATGAGTTTTATAGCTCCACTTTGTAGCTGAGCAAAATTCTTGCCAATAGAGCGGATTGGATGTTCGTGTATTTCGGATTTTGCATTCCACATTTTTGACGAAAGTGAAATCTACTCTTGATTGGCACGCATTTCACTCAGCTAAAAAGAAAAGCTCATAAAAGCCATGTTTATGACTCTTTCGGTCACTGCTGTGAAGTTTAAAGCTTTCTTGAGCATGCTCAAAATTGCAGAACTGAAGTAGGTAATTCTCTTTTGCTTCTAGCTTTCGAACTATCACATACTAGTCCACGAAAAAAGTGCCACTGTAAATGTGCAAGACTTTCTCTTTCGAACAAAAATACTTTTGAAATTTTTCGTTTCCCTGCTTGAAAAATGTCGATCTTGGGCAATTCGTTCAGTTGCTTATAACTCACGCTTTTTTCATACCACACCGGAAGCTTACTACAGTAAAGATCTTGATATGTGCTTTCATAAGGAACGTTAGGAATTCATTAGATACGAAAAGTTATGTCGAAAATGATGCGCAAAAACGTTCGGACCAACCTAACATTAATAGAGTTGTAGCATCACATTAGATGCTTCATGGGATTATGTATTTTCCTCTCAAAAGCGGCGGATTTTTGTGTTTCAATAAGATGAACAATTATACAAATTATAGAGACATTAGAAACACATATAGAGAAAAATAAGTTCGTTTTGGCATACAAATCTTCATAAAAAAAATTTTTCTTGTTGCCATCCATGGTTTTTTGTGGAAAAGTAGTTTGAAGCTTCCTCTATCACATATCAGATATTCAGGATTCTATATCAATAGTAAAGGCAGTTATGCCTAAACATGGTCAAATTTCCAAGTTTAATTCTTTGACATCCTAAGCTTCGTTTTCCTGCTGTAATGGATGTAGGGAATAGCACTGTGGTATTTGATTACAAAAAAGTTTTCCCTATCTTATGAATAACAATGAAAATTGTGATGTGCCACTTTGAAAGTCTTTTATCAAACATACCTAATTTCTTCCTGCGCACCGTGAGGAAATCGGGATCTCTCACTTCTTTGCGGATTTTTTTGCTTGGAAAGTAGTTTTTCTATTCAAATAAAAGTTATAACTCAATCCCCATTGATGTGATCTTTCCAGAAGTACCAAAAACTGCACAAAAATTTGTCTGCAGTATTTGTAAGAGCTGCAAATGCGACCGAAGTTATTTATTTTCCAAACTAATAATAAACAGAATTTTGTACAGATAAATAAATCTAACAGTGCATATTAGCCATGGATAATTTGCTGCATTATATCTTTCTGCTCCTGTTCGACAGCTTGCAAGGAAGCCAACTCAACCCGTAATCGTTCGAGTTCCACTTGTCTTTCCCGTATGACGATCTGCAAAATTATGGATAACAAAAATAATTAATAAGGAGGGGAGGGTTGTTACCTGTAGCTGCTGTGAATCGACTGATCTTGCTTTATCAGCCGATTGAAAAGCGCTTCGTGCTGCCATTGCTCGTAACTTTTCTGCCTCGACTAGAGTTGCAAGCTAAAAAAAGCGTTCATATAATGCTATTACGCTTCTATCATTTGACTTTATTCAGTTTGGAAGATGAACTAGGAATTTTTATATTTGACTAAGACAACTTATTGCGAACCTCTTCAAATGCTTTGATTAACCCATCCGTTGTTGTCCGAAAAGATGTCATTTGAGCAGCAGAATCGCGAGACTGACTTCGAAGATCGCCAAGTGTATCGGAAATTTCTGCAAAATGAACAATTATGCCTCGAAGCGGCAGAATTATTTTTTCTACATTTGGACTGTAATATTACTTCTAAGCCCACTGTCTAAATACAGTGCTTGATCATGATGATGGAACAAGCCTCGCATCAAAAATTTCGAAAATTTATCAAAAAAATCTCGGAGCAGCTTTTAATACCTACAGTATTTTTTCATTGTATTATGTATGATTTATGCAGTATTTCTAAACATTAGAAAATTTATTCGGAACAATATTAAAATTCGAAAGTAAAAACCTGATAATTACAACTCCTTGTAAAGACATCCTGTGAGCATAGCTTGGCTAGAAAGCGTAGATTACAAAACTCAAATAATAAGCAATTTCCAAAAGTTATTGGCCTTTGAGCATATTTGGAGTTTAACAGGTAGAAAAAAAGCAAGCTGGACGTTTTCAACCGGCTTTACTTTCGGGATATGATAACATTGTTTCTTGCTTTGAAAACATTTACAAAATGTGTTTTCTCTTTCTAAATTATATTATTTCATTCAGATTCGTCGAAGAGGAGGTTACAGAATTTTCAAAATTTTGGTGCAAGACTTATGTTCCAACCCAATACATTGTTAGAAGCTCCTGTGAAAAGACGAAATCTAGTTGTTAGAGGAATTATCTTATAGTGAGGTGTTTTACCTGGATCCATGAGACGTATGCGATTCATCTCATCGATGTGGATGCCAGCTCGATTCAATATTTCATCCGTCATAGCTGTAAAATATAAGTACTAAAATATTTTGCTAACGAAATTCATTCAAAACAACGATGTGAGATAAGGTGAAATTCCGCGAGAATAGTTAGCTGCGACCATAACTGGCAAAGATGAATTGCTCTCGGCCTTTCTGCCCCCCTCCCCCCCCCCCCCCCACATCCTGCCGTTCCCACCGAATTGCCCGCGATCCCGCGATGATGAAAAAAAATTCGTTTTTTAGCGACAAGTTTATAATGAGAATTTCGCTACCGTCATTATATACATGATATAGAAAATAATGCAATAAAGAACTATGACCGGTGTATGTTTGAAATTCGAGCGAAGGTGTTTAGCGATCGACTTTGCGCATTTGGTCGTCATGGAAACTAGATGACGAGTAGGAGAAAGGATTTTGGGTGAATTCCTTCTGTTATGTTGAAGAAGCTAATTTTTGAATACTTGAGATTGCCAACTTTATAGAAATATTAGTCGCGGAAACTAACATAAGAATTAGTTCATCCTCTTTGAGGGAACATAGTAAAGCAAATCCTTCTTCCAGAAGATTTAGTCAATCACTTATTTAGAACCGGCAGAGCTATTTGTAAAAGGAAAGGGAAGCTTTTTTTGGGAGCTCGATCCCAAAAAAGATCTCATGCGAAAAAAGACTGTTTTCTATCTTACAGACCAATTGGATCAAAATTGTTACATGTGTTGTAATGGTAGAATATATAATATGTTTTATTCATAACTATTATTTGAATGTTTTGTATAAAGAAACGGTTGTTATGATTCACGTCTAGTCAATACAACAATAAATGAATCAATTTTGCACTGCAAATATCTCAAAAGTATTTCTAAGCTTACCATTTCCAGTTTTCAAGTTCTGATTTTTTGGAAGAATGTTCCAAGAATTGCCTGGCATCTACTTCGTACTACTACAATGTTCCTCATGAATGGATCACATTTTCTGCTGGAAAGCTCCAAAGCAATGATGAAGCCGCTGCAGTTTCGTATATGCTGGCACCCTCTCTGACGCGAGTGTGGCGTTGTTGCTGCCCGCGAACTATACGCAGCAGCTGGAGGAGCGCTGCCGAGGCACGGCGTCTTCGGCGGTTTTAACCCAGTATCACAAGGTACTAAGGGCGTCCGACCTTCCCATGTGGTTGCGTCGAAAACCTTAATTTTTGGACTGCACACCCGGGGTTATCCGGGAGTGCGAAAAGCGTGGTATCAAGTTGTCAGAGAGGTGTTTTGTTGTTGGAGTGGTTTTCTTTGTTGTTAGGGTGCCTTCATACCGCGCCGGCAGCCGCCGCTAGCAGCCCGTAGCAGCCGTCAGCAGCCGCCAGCAGCCCGCAGCAGCAGCCCGTAGCAGCCCATAGCCGCCGCTGGCCGCCTTTGTTATAGGAGCAAAATCGTCAAAATCTTACTACTTTAAAGTGCTCCTGCCTAGCTTTTCATCTTCTACGCTTATTTCTTCTTATTATCGCTAATATGCAGTTCAACTCCCCACAATTCATTTGTGTTCACTGTTCTTTTCCGCACATTGTAACCTATCGCGCTCACAGCACACCTGCTGGAACCGGACGCATCCAAAGTCAGAGCGAATCACACCGGAAAGAACCTTCTATCAACTATGGTCAATAGGATGACCATACGGCGAGAAGGTAATGACAACAATGGGCACATATATAATATGTGGTCAAACTGCGTACTAGCGGCAACAAAAAAAAAGCGTAGAAGATGAAAAGCGTAGACAGGAGCACTCAAAGTAATAAGATTCTGATAATTTTGCTTATATAACGAAAGCGGCCAGCGGCGGCTACGGGCTGCTACGGGCTGCTGGCGGCTGCTACGGGCTGCTAGCGGCTGCTGGCGGCTGCTACGGGCTGCTACGGGCTGCCAGCGGCGGCTGCCGGCGCGGTATGAAGGCACCCTTAGAGCGGTTTTATTTCAAACGAAGGATCTAAACTAACATTCTACTACTTTCATCATTGGAACTCGGTACGTCTAAGGGCCGCATGCACTAATATCCCCGCGGGAAGGGGATCGCAGCTTCAGAAGAAAGCTTTATATCCTGAAGCTCCGGATATCTGGATTTCACGCTGCTACCTATCCTTAAGTATTCCTACTACCCTTCACTATGAACATGTTGAAGAGGAGCGAGAAGCTGTACGAACCGCATTTTCCAGCTTTTGTATGATCCCTGATGATCCCGGCGGTTTTCTTTAAAGTCATTTTTCTTTCTCCGAAGTTAACGAAAACCTTCCAAAGTTGTACTGAACATCTAACACAATACTGCTAAGCATGTTGCTGATGAGAACAAATGAGTTTTTGAAAAGTCGAATTTTTCGGTAAGCCTCAAATTTCGACCTGTGGATCATCGCAAATTTCATGACCTCAAAACATCATTTGTTCTTAGCAGCAACATGCTTAGCACTGTCGGGTTAGACAATCTGCACAACTCTGAAGATTCTTCGTTAACTTCGGAAAAAGAAAAAGACTTTGAAGAAAAGCGAAGGGGATCATCAAGGATCATACAAAAGCTGGAAAATGCGGTTCGTACAGCTTCTCGCTCCTCTTCAACATGTTCATAGTGAAGGGTAATAGGAATACTTACGGATAGGTACACAACGTGAAATCCAGGTATCTGGAGTTTCGAAATATAAAGCTTTCTTTTAAGCTGCGATCCCCTCCCCGCGGGGATGTTAGTGCATGCGGCCCTAAGTGCTCTTATACGAAAAGTTCGTTCAAAATTGATATTCTACTGTATCGTGAAAGCTCAACGCGTTTAAGTCCCGAGGAATTTCATGTGTGAAACCGTAACTCACTTTTAATTTCTGGAACCCCTGAGCTGCGACATATCATCACTGACGAATATAAATTCATGATTCATTGTGTTCTGCAAAAAAATCACAATTAGAACAATATGAAAGATGCTTTGACTACTTATTGGTGCTTATTTCTAGCACGTCCACAAGATCTAATTGTCATCTAAATCCACATATTTGTAACAGATGAATGAACCACAGAAACTTCCCATTATCATTCAAGAAATCTCCTTTACCGAACCCAGTGTTTTTCTACACATCTTAAAACACCCATCAGTTTCAATGACACTCAAAGTTACAGCTGAATTTCCGACATCTAGTGATAGAGCGGCTGAAGGCAAATTTATCCAATGCTTTTACCACACTATCTTTCCAAAAGTCCAACACGCCTGGCTGAGAAAAACGATGCGATATGGCAACCTTACCGTGATAAAAACAGTTTAACAATATACTAAATTTTACTAGACAACCAAACTGAACATAATTCTAGTTGCATTTATTACGTCCATTAACATTCGTATAAAGGAAGACAACAACAAATACCGGGAACTAAACAGTATACAAAAAAATACGTCCCGCATACATAAATAAAAAAAGAAACATCAGAATCCTCAGATGCATACATTGCTTTGAGGCACGAAAGGCCGCATAATTTAGTGCTAGAAGGTTGATTGCAATTTAGACACTATGAATTGAGATTTAGAACGGATAACAACCGATAAGTCAAATTCTTATCACTGCTTGCCAAGCAGTACTCATGGCTTCTTTTTAGCTGCCTCTTCTGCTTCTGCGGCCTCGCGCTCTTCTTCAACCACTTTCATAAGCGCCTCGACTTCTTCAACAGTAAGAACACGATGTGTGCATTCACCAGGCTGGAAAATATCAGTAGTATTTCGTGCAAGCGATGAGAGCTTACAGGTCTTAATACAGCAGAAAATATGAATTATAAAACTTACTACGTCACTTCTCTTCATCACAGCAATTTCTATATTTTGGGCACCTGATTGAACAACCTGAAATATCAAAAATTTTGTCAAAAATTGCTAACAGGGTCAGTGACTCTTAAAAGCAGATAATTACAAAACGTTAAGCGATGCATCTTCCTAAAATTCAAGTTCAAAAGTGCATGGAAACCCACATACAAAAATAGCATATAGTGAGAGGATACAAAATGGACTAATTATGAAAAGCAAATTTAATGCGAGATAGAAACAGTATACAGTTGACTACTAAAATATGGTGATAGATACTTTCTCCAATTTCCATTCGAACAACTATTCAAAACCAACTCCAATAAGATACATATCATACCTGTGAGAGCGCCTTCACAACAAGCTTGAGGGTAGACGCTTCATCTTTGATAGTCTCGTCGCTGTAATGCTCCTCCAAGTACTCTCGAACTGGTTTTTCACCACGACCGGTGGAGTTCGCCTATGATAAGTATGATCTCAAAGGGTGCCAGTCGAAAATCAAACCAAACGCACAAGATATTCGTAATATGCTCCAGAAGGTTCAGTTTTGAACAAACGCGGATGACCATCAAAATCGAAGCCACCAATCAACATCGAAATGCCAAACGGCCGACGACCAGGAGACTGAGTAAATTTCTGAAAGTATATACATTGAGAGTGAAGAAAGGTGATGTAGTCAAATTTGACTAGCCTGCTTAGTGTTCGCAATATATCTAGAGATGTAAGCTACAGTGACGGGATCCTCGAGAGTGAGCTTATACGATTGACATTCGATTCGAGCACGGTCAACCAGTACTCGAGCATCAGCTGAGAGACCTGTAGTCATAGAATAAACATCGACGAAAAAAGAGTGCTTAGGATTTGAACCATATTTGACGTTTTTAGCATTGGAAATCAAGATCTTGCGGTACAAAAGGTATAAAATGTTTTTTACAGGAAGTATCATTGGGTTGGAAATTACCTGCGAATGCTAGCATTACATGGTCATCGATCATATGAATCTTTCGTATGGTTCTATCATCTTGCAGGGCGGGAATGGACTTCTTCTCAACGCCTATCACAATACAATCCTTGCCACGAACTCCTACCTAAACTGAAGATCATGTAGCGTTTTCCAGCAAACCCCAATACTTGACTCAAAAACCGGTATGTCGAAGTCTTTGCGTGCAAAACTGTAACTGGACGCTTCAAACAATCAGATATGCAACTCACCGCAGTAGAACCCTTCTTGACGGCTTCTTGAGCATATTCTACTTGGAAAAGATGCCCATCTGGAGAGAAGATAGTGATAGCACGATCATAACGCTCCATTTCTGACCCTGTGAGTGAGAATTGTTAATGTAAAGAGCTGATATAGATGGCGACAACATGATGCCTCGTAGTTACAATATATCAACCTTGATAAGTAAAACAGAGAACAAATTGTTCATGATTTTCAAAGTCATCAAGAATAATCCGAGCGGGAGCAGACATCTGCGCTGGGTCACTGAATTTGCAAGCCTGCGTCCTTTAAGATTCGTGTTGTATATAGAATTCGAATAATTGTTTTGGTAATGTCTCATACAGACTATTGTTTTTTTTTGTTTGTGGTCATGCAGTAGTTGCCTTTCGTTTTCGAGGTCCCTTTGTATCTCTTGGTTTAAAGCGTTCGGAATGGTTGATTTCTTTTGGAGAATTTTCGTCTGAATTAGCGGAAATCTAATCTATACGGAAGAGCTCAGTGAAAACGCTCAACAGCTTATTACCTCGGCTTATAGCTAACTTTTTTCAGTGCTCTTTCCATGAGAAACATGCATATTTGTATGAGAAATCTCTTGCTCGTTTCTTGCTTGGATTAGTCAGTCAGTCATGAAAGTCAAGAGAAAGCACTGATAGTTTATACTTGGGACATCATCTTTGAATGTTTTTGAGGAAGTTTTCAAAATTTTCGGGCTTTTTTTAGCGAATTATACTCCTACGTTATGAAAGAAGTCTTCCTTGTGTCACTGCTAATTTTTCAAACAAGTATCCAGTTCCTAATCAAATGTCAATCCTATCATGTCCCTTTCTCATTTTGAACTATCATGTTGTAGATGCCGTACGCAAATCAACCTGTCATAAATATTATGGAGTTAAGCGACGACTTAGTTCGCTTTTCCTTAGAAGATACTGATCTTAGCGTTGCAAATGCTCTTCGACGGGTTTTCATTGCTGAGGTCAGTTCTGCTAAAAGCTAGATATTTTGGAAGCTTTGCTAATATCATAATGCAATCGCTTCTCGTTCAGGTTCCCACTATTGCTATAGATTGGGTGCAAATAGAGTCAAATACGAGCGTTTTGCATGATGAATTTATCGCTCATCGAATGGGCTTGATACCGTTTGTCTCCGACGCAGTTGTTGATGACATGGCTTACACGAGAGTAAGTGCCTAAGGCCTCGGACAGAGTTCACGCGATTTGATCGTCGCGATTGATAGTGACATGACAACTGTAAAATATAGTGAAATATAATAAAAAATGATATAGTAAAAAAAATTAAAAAAATAAATAATAAAAATAAAAAATAAATAAAAATAATAAATAATAAATAAATAATAATATAGTAAAATATAATAAATAGCATTGCATGCCGATCTTCTTGCATTTCGGTTGTGATAGTTTTCCAGCACGACTAATCGTGACTAACTATCACAACCGAAATACAAGAAAATCGACATGCAGTGAACTCGTAATACTTGTCTTGTAACGATTGAATCGCAACGATTCGACGGGCAGAGTTCACGCAACAAATCGCGTGAACTATGCCCGAGGCTCAAAGGCAGCGTACACCCAAAATTTCATATTCGATGTTTTTGTCATTCTGGGGCCTTTCCGTGCCGCTGATTACAGTCATGACATTGAAATCCTCCAAAAGTCCCAAAAAACCCCGATTTCCGAGGACCCTCTCTTCAAGGGGAGGACGAGTTTCAAACTGCTCGTCGCCGTCGGCATGCCAGCAGCTGCAACAGCATGACAGCCAGCAGTTGCAACTGCAACTGCTGCATATGCTGTCGTGGATTCGTCGTCCGAAGGAGACAAAACGCAGGAAGCAACTGCATTGTTGCAGCTGCTGTTGCGTTCGCAACAGCAGCTCCAATTGCAACTGCAACTGCAACTGCAGCTTACGCTGTCGTGGATTCGTCCGGAGCAGGCGGATTGAAAGAAAAGGGGCGGAGTGAAAGAAAATTGAGGGAGGTTTTCTCCGCTCAGAAGCAACATTGGGAGACCGGAGCAACGCAGTTGGTCTTCTTCTGGGCCCAGTATATATACGGTATAGAAAAATCTAGAAAATTAGGTAACTTAGATTTTGGTTGTACGCTGCCTTTAAGGCTACCATATTCCAGAACTCTCTCTAGTGGTAACAAACACTTGAAATTTTGCTAAGTCAAGCAATCATCTGACGCTTTTGAGTTTATTCCAGGAATGTAACTGCACAGAATTCTGCGACGCCTGTTCTGTATTGTTCGAGTTGAACGTCAAATGCAAAGAAGAAGCTACACGTTCAGTAACTACTGCTGATTTGGTGTGCAAAACTGAACGATATTTGAATACGGTAGGAACCACACTTTTTCACGTCTTTTTCATTTTGATTCCTATATTTTCGTCGTTTCAAATTGTCAGATAGTAAGTAATTTTATCAATCTTATCAGGCTATTATGCTAGGTATATCCCGCTTGTGGCCAGCAGCTGAAGAATCGCAGTGCATTTGGTGACGAATATGGGCAACACGAAGATATTCTCATTGTAAAGCTCAGAAAGGGACAAGAAATCAACTTAAAATGTTACGCGAAGAAGGTTGATTTTTTAACGCTGACTTTGACTCGGGTGTAGTCTTCTTTTCATACGGCATTTACCTGTACTTAGGGTTTCGGAAAAGAACATGCAAAGTGGAATCCAACATGTGGTGTAGGGTTCGAATACGATCCAGATAATGCCCTTCGGCACACTGTCTATCCGAATCCCAAAGAATGGCCACGCAGTGAATTTTCGCAACTGAAGGACCAAGAGGGAGAGGAGAAGCAGTACGAGGCACCATATGATGCTCATGGCAAACCGAACAAGTTCTGGTTCACAAGTACGTTTCGTAGCCAAATCAGAGAAATTTTTGACTATATATCTGTGTTTAGTTGAAGCCACTGGCGCTTTGAAAGCTGATCGCATTGTGTATTCTGGTGTGGCTGTGTTGAAGAAGAAACTTACGGATCTACAGGTATACATTCATTTCTTTTTGTCTAATTGGTCATCTTTGTATCTTATCCGCTTGAGGTTAACCTGAGACACGAACTTCTACAACATGGCCTGGCCATCAACAACTGAGTGCAAACCAACTACATCATGGGAGGGTTTTTGTTGTTACCTGTATTTGATCTCTATAAAAATATAGAAGATTAACAATAAATAATTGTTATACTATTTGTCATACGATGTTTATAGAGTTCTTAGCAAATACTTTTCAAATTGTGATTTCCGTACATTACATCTTTGCTTGTCATGTCCGTCGAAGTAGTAAGATAGAGATCATGCAGGTTTTTCGGTAGAGGTGAAAGTGAATAGCGCTTAGATAGGGTTATAGCCATTCTGACTCATCGCTGTCCCAAATATGTAATTTTCATTTAAATGAGTTCGGTAATGCTAGTGTGTGAATGCGTTGCTGTCTATCCTATGTGACAAGCATAGTAGACAAAGTATTCCATAAAAAACGTAATATCTCAAAAGCCTTCACATTTGTCTTGTACTATCATATTATTATAGTTCACAACATGACAGAAGAAGGGAAAAAGTTTGGTACTCTTGCCACCCTGGAAGCCGTTAAGGCCATTCAGGTAAGACAGTTCAATTCTATACATGAGGATTTTTAGAACGCTTGCACTATATGGTATGAAATATCACTTATGTTGTTGTCATTTCTCTGAATAAGTTCATCCTCACCTATTTATCAACAATCCTATTCAGGAAAACACAAATGCGATGGCATCAGATAGGAAAGGAGAGCGAATGGAAGTGGATCCTATAGAAAGTCAGCATGAAGCTGAGCTACTGGCAGAGTTTGAGCGTAGAAGGCGAGCGAGGACACTCACGCTGCCGACGGACGACGTTCAGGTTAGTCATTCTGTTTACTATTTGAAACGTCTATTTATACAAATTTCAGTTTTAGGTCAAACTGAAACTGAGGAAGCTAAACCAACCAATATGCTTGTTCGGAGAAGATATCTTGGATCGAAGAGAGCGTTTGCGTGCACTACTCTCCACAATGTCAGAGGATGAAGTAGCAGCTATACTCCACACTGAAGAGGTTTGCTTGCCTGGTTTATGATTTTCGTTCGTTCTCAAACTTCTCTTTGAAAAACAATGTTTTAGGGTTATGTAGAAAAGCCGGACGAGGAGACTACTACCTGGTACCATCGCGGTCCTATGGCACTTCGAGCTGCTCGTGTAGCCATTGCTGACTTTTCCCTACGCAGAGCTAAAGAAAGGTGAGAAAGTGATCTGAAAGAGTAATTGCCTATGTTGATTCTCTCAGACTTGCTCGTGCGCGTGAGAATGCAGCCCGACCGCCGCACGAAAAGGCTCTGGCTCGCCAAGAGGCACATAAATGGATTCAACAGCTGAATCTCTATGCCTCTCAAGTGGCCGACACTCGGCCTGTGGCATTCTGCGAGTTTTCCCCGGATTCTGAACACATTGGTTTGCTTCAAGAAATTCAGAATGGTTTGCTATAAGTCTTTTTACAGTCACTGCTGGATGGTCAGGGCAGCCTTGTGTATGGAAGAGGGATACATGTGAGCGGCTTATACGGTATACAGGGCATCAAGGACAAAATGGTTGTGCCAGGTTTCACCCGCAAGCATACATTTCAGCTGACTCTTCTTCGCTGAATGTAGCCAGTTGTGCTCATGATGGTAGGTAGATCGTAGCGAGGTATCGCACATTAATTGTTTTGTTTTAGGCACTGTTTATCTATGGTCATTAGATAGCGATAAGCCCATCGGTGAATTGGAAAAGCATGAGAATCGCGTTTCCAGGTTGGCATTCCATCCAAATGGTCGACATCTTGCTACAGCATGGTGGGTATAACATAGTCAAGCGCTTTTGCCGTTATAATTGATTTTTGAGCTATGATTCTTCTTGGCGTATGTTTGATGTGGAAACGGGAGAAGATCTATTATTCCAAGAAGGGCACGCAAAGGTACTTTGCTTGATTTGAATCTTGAGGTTTCCTTTTCAGTTGTGTGCTTGGATAGGTGAAGATGCATGAATGACTATTTTTAGGCAGTTTCCGATGTAGCATTCCATCCTGATGGATCAGTATCCTTGACTGGAGGACTAGACTGCTATGGACGTGTATGGGACTTGCGGACGGGCAGGTGTATCATGTTTTTGGATGGACACACGAAAGAAGTTTACAGCGTAGATTGGCTTCCTAATGGGTTAGTATAGAATCGAATGCTTTTTTATTCACCTACTCCTGGGGAAGTGCATCCTATCTTTATTTATTATCCTTATCTTGTTTATCTAAATCAAATTCTTTATGTATGGTCCACTGTTGTAATTTACAGGTATGAGATGGTGACCGGTAGCGCTGACAACACAATCAAAGTATGGGATCTACGTATACGAAAGAATACATATACAATGCCAGCACATTCCAGTGTTGTATCTAGAGTAGTAGTGGACAAAATAGGCCAATATCTAGTCTCTTCCAGCTATGACACTTCTTTGAAGGTAAACCTATTACATGATTCCTCATCTGCTGCAAATAAGTGATTTTTTTTTGCAGATTTGGTCTACCTCAGGATGGCAACCATTGAGACAATTGAAAGGACATGATACAAAGGCAAGTTATAGTGCAGAAATCGCGCTCGGAATTTTTAGCTTCTTTTTGTAAATATGTTATAATTCTTGAGTTCTTATCATCGAACGCGCAAAGAGGGTAGCCTTTCAGTGGGTCATTATCATATTAGATTTCAGGTTATGTGTGTTGATATCAGTCCAGATGGGAAATGGTTGATGTCATCAGCATTTGATCGCACTTTCAAACTGTGGACGCAGTCTGAGTACTAGCTCTCCCTATGCATCTCAAAATTGTTCTTTTTTCCTGTGAAGTCTTTGTTGTGCTTGTGCTGTTAATTAATAAAAGGGATATATGTTTATGTACATAAGATTTTTCTTCTCTACAAAAAAAAAGATAAACGAGTAAAAAATATGGCAACCCGAAACTCAAAAATGTACAAAACGCTTAGAACACAAACAGAACTTCACCTTAAAGAAATCTTCGTCCAGGAGCAAAAGGAACATACATAGCTACATCGAAAACTATACAGTGCTTTGCCGCAAGCCCTTGGTGTTGAGGATTCTCTTCCCACACATCGCGCAGATTCCTTTTTGATAAGCACACGTCTGACAATAATGCGAGCCAACTTGATGTATTGCACATTTGCAAATCTTGCACTTCACGTTCATTACGGTTGCCCTGCAAAGAGACATGAAGAGAATTATATTCTGCCAGATCTTAAAAATCTTACTTCTTTTCGCTTCCAAGTAATTTATTTTGATTCGCTGGTGGCCTCTTCTGAACCCCGGGCAACTTGTTGTAGACTTTATTGCGATAAGGATCTATCCCAACAATCTTGGTGAGCTTCTTTTGACCTGGAATGCGTTCGAAAAAATACAAAAAGCGGAAGAAATTGCTCCGAAAGGAACTCACAAGCATCGCACACCATTATTCTCCAAAAGGAAGTGGAGATGACAGGATTGTATAGATTTAAACCCTCTAAACACACATACTAGTATTTATATGACAAACTATTTGAAATGAAGAGTATAGAACGAGATGCAATTCAGAATGAATTTGAAAACACATTTCAAATACTTGCTATCTGTTCTGATCACTTTCTTAGACAATTAAGAGATGTACAGAAGCAAATTCTCGATGAAGAATTGTAGCAGATAGGAAAGGAAACGAAAATGCTGAAGTAGCCAAAGAAAGGGCGTCCTCTTTTTCGTCGCGAAAGTTTCCATGCTCCAACGCTCAAGTTCGCTCCAGTTGACTTGGCAGCCATCCAAGTTCCATCACGATCGCTCGATTGTCGTTGTTTTCCTGCATTTTGAGAGTTTTACTCGTGTATAGTCTATAGAAACCATTCCTTTCTCTAGGGTTTCAACTGCCAATATATGGCCTTGTCATTCTACGGACTTCTGGAGGCAGCGTTGCTTGTTCTAAACGGTATAGCTATTCTGCATCGAGAGCGTTTCCTAAAGAAGGTAAGTTTTGTTCCGTCATTTCTTTCTCCTACATTTGCAGTGCTGACACTGTAATGCTTGTTTAGTACGGTTTTGGTGTACCCTCAAATTCGTTCGAATCAGATTCGGGATCAGTAAAAAATCAACTCATCAGTCTCATTTTGGCCGTCCAAACGGTTATGCGTAGTGAGTTTTAGACAAATTGTCAGAATTTGCATAATAATCTGTCATTGCAGTGCCTTTAATCGGCATTAACATCATCGTAATCGTGTTCAAACTGGTTCTTGGATAATTTCGCTTTAACGCATATTTTATATCGTTATCCTGTTGTAATTAAATCTTCTGTAAAGATGGTCAAGTTAGATAAAAACGCTGTATTGGAATATGCTACCTTCAAAGTTCCTTACGAGGAACTCAATATGGAATTTCGTCGGGGGCACAAGGTGAGACATATCTTTTTAAATGAACTATAATTTGTTCACCCCAGTGAATTCATAGTTGTAGTTATAGATAGTTTACAAATATACACCTTATGAGCAGTGTTCTAGAATATGGAGAGGGTTGGTGCTGGGTTAAAAAGATCGATTGCTGCGTTACGTAGCGCTTTGTCTGAGAAGGATGGATGCGTTTCGGTCGCTACCGTGAGTTTTTTTACCAGCTTCAAGAGTTTAGAAAGTTCGAAAAATTAGTTGCTGATATAACTTCAGGCTCGTGAAGCTTTTCGCGATTTCAAATCGAAACTCGAACAACTTGATGTGGCGAAAAAAGAGGCAGTGAGAAAGCAACGGCAGTTTATCAAGAATATGCAAATGCGGATTCAGTTTTTGCGAAATGAGGTAAATTTCATTCTATCCTTTCTCTTTCTTCTTCATTTTCGAATTCCCAATCACGTGCGCATCTTGATCCATAAGTTTTATCTTGCAGGATATATCACATGAAAAAGCACAAAGAGAACTCGAGATGTGGCGACGTGATCGTCAGCAAGTGGCAAGACTCATTTGTTCGCAGATGTTGAGATGTGGTCATGTGGAGAGTGCAAAAGCATTGGCAAATGAAGTGGAAATCACCAACATGGTGGATTTGGAGGTTTTTGCCAAAGTTGAACGGGTATGCAAATAATCTGTGATTGACCTCATGATATATTCTTTTAACAGGTTATCAATGCATTATTGAATAAGGATACGACACCATGCTTGGAATGGGTCGGGGAACACAGATCAAAATTGAGACGAATGGGTAGCAAGCTCGAACAAGTTGTGCGAGTTCAGGTAATTTGTCTTACCGCTATTTTGTGTTCTTTATTTGTTCAGTGTCTAATAAAGCTCCATGTTATACTTAAAGGCAGCGTCCAGGCAGATCTGGACCTATGGGGCTTTTATGTGGAAAGTACTTTGGGGCCCTAACTAAGCCACTGCCCAAGCGGTAGCTCATGTAGTGCTCTAATGGCTGAGATATTCCCCCCGAAACTGGCCCCCGCGAACGTATTCGCATGGATTCATGGCAGTTTCGCGCTAGGATCCACGCTATGCGCCATGAATCCATGCGATACACGGTCGCGGGGTCCAGTTTCGAGGGGAATATCTCAGGCGTTAGGGCACTACCAGCTGCCGGTTGGGCAGTGGCTTAGTTAGGGCCCCAAAAGTACTTTCCACGTAAAATCCCCCATAGGTCCAGACTTGCCTGGACGCTGCCTTTAAATTGATTTTTTGTAGAACGCTGTCGAATTGGTCCGTGAAGGACGAGTAAAAGATGCTTTGATGTATATCAGAAAACATCTGGGCACCCTGAAGGATGGTTGGTGTGAGGATGCCATGAAAGTAGGCTCACTCTTTATTTTGGTTGTTGAATGGAAACTTCATTCTTTTAAACGAAAACCCTGTATCTCTATCGATCATCTGTTTTAGCTGATGGGGCTGATTGCATTACGAGGGCATAATGACATCCCTGCTTACAAAGAACTGCTCAGCGACCACCGTTGGCAGAGACTGGCTGACTTGTTCCGCGAAGAAGTATTTGCTTTGTATCAGGTATAAATTTGGATATCAGTGACTTTTTTCGTTTTCGTCCTTTATTTTTTAAAATTTTTGGGCTCCGTATGTTTGTCGAACGATTTTTCTTGCAGCTCCCGCACCAGTCCGCTTTTGCCATGTGTCTTCAGTGCGGCCTCAGCGCATACAAAACACCGCATTGCTCCCCAGGTGGAGTGGAAAGATGTCCTACTTGTCAACCATGTGCTTACGCTTTGGCTGAAGGTCTTCCATATGCTCATACCGTCAACTCAAGGCTGGTTTTCTTTTTGGTGCTTTGAATCACATCTAACAGCGCTATCATAGGCTCATTTGTGCTTATTCTGGTGAGGCGTTGAACGAAGAGAATCACCCAATGATGATGCCTGACGGTAGGGTCTACGGAGAAAAAGCCATTCGTGAGCTGCAGGTAATCTTGAGTAACCAAAAAATCTTTCTTTGCTCACTGCTTGGTAAGTTTTTTACTTCCCGGCTCAAACTTCGTCTTCCAGGTTGACAACATGGTACGTTGTCCCAGAACCGGCGCTATGATCCCCATCGAGCAAGTTTTGAAATTGTACGTTCTTTAAAACCCTCGGCGTTTTTTCCATATGTGCCAATTATTTTTTTCTAACAAATTTGAAAAACGGAAATTAGACCTTTATTTCGTTCGTTATTCAGTGTAGGTTCTCGTAGTATTTTTTGGTTGGTTTATGTTATTTTTTCCGACAAGCTCTATTTCTCTTGGCTAACGTCGATTTTGTTTCAAAGACCATATGTCACTAACATTCAATAAAGTGCATATACATTCTTATAGTAGTACAAAAGTGACACATATAGCAATCTAATAACACAGCAGCAGTTTAAGCAGACAATCTCCCGGTTTATCCTGAGAATATCAAGGCAAATTGTAGCACAAAATTAGTTGGGCAACGAATCTAATGATATCAAAGAAGAGCTCATATTGATAAGATAATTAAGATGTCATGAAGAAAGGAGATATCAAAGATGGAAGGTAGACTTTCATACTTACTATAATGCACAGTTTCTACCCTGTGAAGTTATCTAAATTACAGTAAAGTGCGGTAATAGTAGTAATAATAGTAGTACCGGATTATAGTTACTCGCGCTAGGATGGCTCTTATGCCTATTTAGAGAGCACTGAATGCATAGTAGTGGCTATGACTAGAGAAGCAAACTATGTAGCAAAATTTTAGATAAGAAAAGAAGCGAAACTGATTCTATAAACCAAAAGGAAAGTTGTGAGAAGTTGAGCGTGGATACAGAAGCAATCGATCAAGTTTCCTTGTAACACTACTCTCTAGTGCAAAAACATAAACGTATCGATTCGAATTCAACCTCGGGGCTACGACTTTGACGGTTGAGAGGTGCGACGTGCGTTTGCATTCCTCATCCGCATTCGACATGCCAAGCATCCGCCAGATCGCCCGATGAGGCAAACAGTGTGATATGAATGACCTGCAATCAAGAAGAAGATGATCTTTACTGGGTAACCACAGCGGAAATAAGAGAGTGTAGGAAAGTTTCTTACCACATATAAAAGATGTGACCGCGAGATCTTTGTTACTGACATCAGATTTCAGACTTAAGGTACAGATGAGACAAGAACTGAAAAAAAATATTATAAACCTGTGATGAAAATTGGAAGAAGAGAGCTGTTACCTATTACAATCGATAATCCAGCTATACATAGGAGTTTGCTTATATAATCCATCCCGCTTAGCAGGACTTGCCTTATATGGCTCTACACTGATTAAATTAGACAAATTAAACTCTTGGAGTACATCAGTGATAACCTGAACAAGGGACACTCTGGGACACTCCAAAATTTATCGAATATCGATAAGAAATGATGACAACATACCTTTGCGCTTATCCTATCCTTTTTCATTGCCTGTTCTCTAACACCAAGTAAAGACAATGCAGACCAATGTTCGGGCAATAACAAATGTAGAATTACTTGGCTCTCTTTTATCAACGAAATAAGCTCTTGATATCCCAGCACTAAGGAAGCAATGGCAAAAACCTGAAAATGTATTTCAGATCCAAAATTCATTTCACACAAAAACGAAACCCTCACCACTCTAGCGTCCAAAGCCAATAGCCACTCAAAAGAACTGAGAGGCGTGAGGTGTTCGTCAATGTGTAGCTTGCTTCGCGGGATTTCTTTAGAGGGACTTGCGGCTGGGCTGCCGTTTGTCAAGGTAGCAGTAGACGAATTATCTAAAGTTCACATTTGAGTACATTCGGAACAAGACATAGCAAGCAGTTATCCTTCGTACTCGATAACTGCACTTCATCAGCTGTTCGACTGGGCGACGACGCGGATTCCTCAAAAAGTATCCGTGACATACGATCCTCATCTATCGATGTACATCGTTCCAAAATTGTTTTCGGATTAGGTCTGACCTTCTCCGGAACGAAATCGAGCAACGTCGATCCTTGTCCTTAAATTCGCAAAGTTGTTTACTCCCAATAGAAGAGGAAAGAAGACATCGAGAGAAACTTACCAAATATGGATAGGCAGCTGCAGACAGCAGTTTCACATCGAGCACATGGCGAGGTGTTACTCTGTTTAGTGGTAAATCGAAATTCGAGAAGTTGTTTCCAGTCACTGTGCAAAGATGGAACAGCACCTAAAAGCATATTTTCCTATGATTCGGAAGTCTCAAGTGTAAAGAGTTTACCAAAACTGAATTGATTTTTGTTTATTTTGACGCGTCTGCAGACTTTTGCTAGCATTGCAGCCGCTGGCCATGATCTGAACGTACATTCTAAATGAATGATCGAATTACATTAATCTTACCTGTGTATTTTACATTCTTCACAACAATCAGAACTAGATGATGGTGCAGGCGGAGGTTCTACAATTTCTTCGATGTGAGGTGTGCCATTGATAGGAGCATTGTCATTAGTTACTGAAAACGAGTTAGTACGAGACAGATAACCCACCAACTTCTATTCGAAAATGAAAATCAAAAACCCTCAAAGGGGTGTGATCAAATGACATGAATCACTCATGATGAACTCACCGTTTTGTATTTGAATTTGCGTTAATCTATCCATCACCAGGTTCAAATCCACATTATTTTCACCATCATTGTAAGCAATGACACATTCTGTAACATACAAATTATTACTAACTTATACGATAGTTTTGATTTAATAAAGCACCAGTAGTGGTTTCCGAAACGGCTGACGGGAGTTTTATGTCGTTTGAGTTCTCACAATTGTTGTGGCGATCCTCATCAGTAGGAACAGCCTAGAAAACGAAGTTAAACCCTTAGGACATAGACATAAACAAGCGAAATGCACATGGGGCAGCGGCATGGACACTGACTTCCGCTATTGAGCAGCACGCAATGTGCGCTGTAAATCAGATCAAAACAACAGCTGTTGCTAAAGCGTTCGCGGAACAAAGGAGGTGGGATCGAGTTCTGCGATTCCTGCTCTAATGAGAAAGTGAGATTCCAAAAATGCGCATTTGAGGGTAAAGAACAACATAAGGGAATAAATAAGCACGTCACTCGTCAAACATGTGCACGCAGTACGTAAGAATGTTGCAAAGTCACGCGCAGATAGCGCAAGATTAACAATGCAAATGGAAGCAAAAGACACCGTCAAAGCACTCACAGCCAAAGGCTTGACAGAACGGCGAGACAACAGTGGACGAACAGAAGCTACAGGCTGGAAATATAGCACAATAGCAGTGATAATTAGCGTTGAGCGAATAAAAAGAGCGTATAGACAGAGGAGAACAAAACTAGACCTTTGTTTTACATGGCCTCACTGCTTTCACAATACTTGGCCCACTGCGTCGCTTAACTGCTTTTCTTCCATCGTCTGTGACCTTACGACCCTCAGCTGGCACCAAACATGAAAAATTTATGGGAGTTGCGATAGCAAGGGCAGCAAGGGACTTAGCAGCGTTCCCAATGGTTATCTAAAAATATGCTAACAAACAGACATCAGACAAACGGCCTGCTCAACATACGGTTGGTACAAATTTCACGGCGTCTAGCATGTCACGACTTCGCAATTGTAGAAGTGTACGTAATGATTCACTACTAACAATTTCACTGCGAGACTCCTGCAAAGCAGTATAAGAGAAAAGTGAAGGGAGTTGCACTAATTGAACTAACCCGGATTCTTTTGACTTTCTCACTTAGAATGATTTGCGGAAAAGACTTCCTTTTTGGCATTTGGGTTGATGAGGTTCTGAGATAGAGAACATATAATGATTTTATGGGTTACATTCAGTAACAAGAGTTTGTTCTGAGAAAGTGGATATGCCGGTAATGTTAGCTATATGTCTTCACTATAAAGGAGGTTGGTCAAAACATCGAAAGCCTAAAAATCAGGAAAAAACAATGCCATACCGACTGACGCACCTTGTTGCTGCGCAGCTTCTGCTTCGATAACGCTTCCTTCGAGGAAGTGCATCTGCCTCCGATGGAGGTTCATCAAGTGGTTCGGAAATCTTGTTCACAACTCGATGAATTCCAGATGGTAGACGTACACAAACTGGACTGTCTGCGACCACTACAAAACCGTAAATTAGATGAGTTTTGCAGAGTGTTTGGTATACGTACCGATAGCCTTGGTGTCCCTGTGAAGCTCAGATTTTTGCTGCTCCAGGAGTCCCATTACTTCTGCTCGTAATCGCTCGACATTTGCCTTCCCAGGACATTTAGAAAGAGATTCAGCAATATGATTTAGAACATCATCCGGCCATGTGCAGGCTTTCCAGCTAAGGACAAATTGTGCAGACTAAAAAAGAAAAGAACTAACGTAGTCATAACACAGAAAAAGTAGATTGATGTCCCACAAACCTGTACAGCGAGAGATTTCGCCAGCAACTTTTTAACCACCATCTCACGATCGCAAAGAGTGTACTTGCGCGGTATTGGCAAATTGCGAAAGATGACAAAAACATCCGCAGCACAAACGCAAAGACATTGTATCTCTGAAAGTAAATGACTTTAGACAAGAAGGAGAAAAAGTTGGAAAAAAAGCATTACCTTCTTCCAACTCATTGACCAAGATTATTTTAGACTGATCAACATCGAAAACTATCATTTTAGATCCAGAAGATGACAAGATGAATGAGTTTCTGAAGTTGATCATTGACGAAAAATGAAGTTCAGCAAAAGGTTCGCACCCATCAACGTCAAGTCGATGTAGAACGCCAAGCTGGACGTCTTCATTGGAGTTCGCCGCCGCAGATGACACCAAGGTCATGTCGCAACTGTAGTCGGTTCGCGAAGAAATGATGGGTGGACGTGGTATTGCGCTGTTTTCTCGTAGCTGATGCGTTCTGTAGAAAAAAAAATTGGATCAATTACAATAGTCTGAAGAGAGAATGAACTACTTATTCTCAAATATGTAGCTACGAAACAAAAGACAGAGGATGAACTTTGCCTCAATGAAAGGTTTCATACCGATAAACCACGCCAGCCGTGTTTGCTTCCCAAACGCGACCATTAGGCCGCGCAGCTAACACGAACGCCGAATTATCCACTTGAGAAGATGAACCAGACATGGGAAAAAAGCATGCGCCCATCCGACCACTTCGTGGTTTTTTGCCCACCTATAGAACATGATGCATATGGGGAAGTTGATTAGCTTTACGAAAACTTACTTGTGTGGTTGTTTTCTCTTCCAAATCGTAGACATAGGTGGCTAACTGTGTGGAAATTAGCAACTGCGAGCCGCTAACGTCCAGCTGGAGGATTTCTCCTTCACTAAATGTAGCCAGGACAGTACAAGCTGTGCGGAAGGGCGACTTCGTCTGTAAAATGAATAAAGAGAGTGAGAAAATTTGGATGAAGATAATAGCTTACGCCTAGATGGTATGCCATGACAACACCATTGGCATGTCCTGAATAAAGCTTTTTAGCATCTTCAGACCAGACCAAACTTGTGACCTAAAATTATATTTGCTTTCAACTCCTTTTCACAGGAAGAAGAAGACTGAGAGAATCAAGCATCGCCTTTGGTTATAACCACCAAGCCACCAATCAATCACCTTGTCTAGCTTTCTAGTGTCTTTCGTAAGAGTTTGTATAATCGGAGACGGTGAAGACGCCGAGAACGACACTATATGAACACGACCACTATCGTTTCCAACGGCGACTAAGCCCTCTTGTAAGTTCACACACAACTGCAAACATTGAACATAACGTTAGTGAAGCGAATAAGCAGATACAGAACAAGAAAGCGATCATAAGTATGCAAATGTAAAGAGACAGTGTGCTGAAAGCTATAAAGATGCTTACAGTGCTCACAGGCCCATCTTTGGTGTTGATGAAGTGATAGGGACCACTCGGAGATTTGATACGTTTACGAGCAGATGCATACCGGGAATATGCCGATACTCCTCCTGTTGATGTGCCAAGGAAGAGAAAATGCGGCGAGACTGCGATGCAGGTGAGCTAAAAGCTACTCTTGAATAAAACATGTCAGAAGTCTGTGGATGGAATTTTTGGATGTAGAAGACTGATTGCTTCACAGTCACGACATGTGATGGAAAAGATAACAAACTGTAAGTAAGAAGCTCTTTCTAGACATCATTTTGCCCATTTGTAACGGAACTATATAACAGCGCACTACCTATTAAAACTGAGGCACCATGTTGTGAGAAACAATAGAAATAAAGTTTTCAGCTTTTATGTTAGCACAGACTAAATTTACTCCATATACTTAAAAACACCGTCCACAAAAGTAGGGGTGATGACATTTTGACGTTATGTAATAGCGGGGTCCCCAACTAAGCAATCCCCAAGTCTCGTTGCAAAGAATGAATTTTATGGCGAAAAAACCGCTTCAGAAGGTATAAGGGGCCAAATTGGCTCCGCCCTTCGATAGCGGTCTGAAGATAATCAGTACGAAGGTGGGCTTAAGGCTTAGCTGAAAATTCCGGAAATCCTACAATTTTGACAAAAAGCGAAATTATGACACTTTTAGATACATTGAAGCCAAGTCTAGATTTGCTATCTTGGTCAACCACATTGATGGGCGGAGCCACCGCGGCGCTTATACTTACTAAGGCGATTTTCTCGCTTTAGAATGTATCTCTTGCCGCGAGATAGGCGATTAACTAGTCAGAAGCCCCATTATTATACATCATCAAAGTCTCGCCGTCCTTGATTTAGGTGGACGGTATGTTCAAGCAAATCTTCTTTTTAGAAGTCAACAAGCTATGGGACCCGTCAACTTGCCAAAAAAAACCAAAAGCGCTCAAAAAAGCCCGAAAAAGTCGAAAAAAAGCCCGAAAGAGCCGGAACGCAGAAACGAAATTATGGTAGAATTCTGACGTTATTTTCATGTGTAGACGACAGAAAATAAAGCAAAAAGACTCGGTAGCGAGATCAACAGCATGTCTTAGCGTCAAAACGGAAGGGGGCGTTCCGGCTCTTTCTGGATCTTTTAAGTGCTTTTGGGCTTTTTTCGGTGAAGTATGAAGGGCCCCTATGAGATATGCGACGGGCCTGGTGAATCTCGCACTACATTCAAGGCTTGGAAGCAGTTTGGACATGAACTTGGAATATAATCAAGCATATAAAATGTTCACTTGACGGACCGGCCATTCCGAATGAGATCAATGCAATTTGATATGAGACCTTCCACAGAGTCAAAAATCTGAACGCCTCTAGTCCACAATTTATTTGCTTCACTAAGTGCAAGCTCAGATGTTCAGCCGAACACAACCAACATGTTGACAGCTGGGTAAACGGAAATTGTATCTGGTGACGTTTCGTGCAGATATTTTAGATTCATTCGAAACGACACTCGTTACAACCTGTACCTCATCCAGAAGGCCTTCTACCTCATGTCTTTGACAAAAGCCAAATGAACACTAAATGTAGATTATAGGACTTCCAATAATAATCAAAAACAAAATAATAGACCCACAAGCCATGCATAAGTGATTGATCAACTTACCCGCGATCTCTTTGACGAGCTTGACGTCATCACAAGATGATCCAGGGTAAAGAGTTCAGTGAAGAAGTGCGTTGGAACTGGTGGTTGCACCTCTGCAGAAGTGGCTGCTGTTGTTGTCGAAGACGAAGAAGGTTCCATGCTCTGATTTCATGTCGATAAGACCATGAGGATTGAGTATGGTGGTCTGAAAACAATGGGATTTTATATTGTGCGTCGAATAGAGGTCTTGTATACTGAGAATGTGAAAGATACAGGCGTGATAGATAAACAAATGGATCGCAGAGCTTGAAATTCCTTCGAACAAGATCATTCTAGGCAGTTTGAGAACACTTAGCAGGTTTGAGCCGACTCAAATAGTGGCTTGATTCATCGCCCAGACAACGCCTTAAATCATTTGCAATAAAAAAATTACTGGAAGACAACGTGAATCAATGGAACTCCAGCTTTGGATGAAAAACAACCAATGGTAGGAGCGCATGTGCGCAACTGCGTCCTCACCAATCTCACGTCGCTTGAGAGGCGGAAATTTTCTGGTTTCGTTTGCACAGTACACTGCTCTAATGAGAGAAGACATATTCAGACGTTTGACATTTGGCATAAAGAAAACTCGAAGGGAAGCGGCCAAGGTACGTCACTTTGATTTTTCTGCTTTTCTGCCTTTTTCTTGCAATTCTTTATCTTCTTCCTATGAAAAGCTTGGCGAGAGTTTCGCAGCTGTTCATCAGTGTTATATTATAATCAACACATTTAAATAAGTTATGCCATATCATAAGTTCTTATTTTTGCGTCAAAAAGATGGTTTGTCGACGCAGTCAATGCACGGGTTGCGTACATGACGGCGGCGCGCTTGGCGCCTTTGAGTTGTAGAAAAGCTAGAATAAATAAAGGTAGATGAGGCAAACCGCTGCGCCCTGGTTTATGCAGTATTTGCGCCGCTGACTAAAGCTCTATCCGGCTATCTTCAATAACCTCGTTAAAAAATTTTATAAAGAATTTGTCTACTGTGTTTATTGTAGGCGATTTTTCACAGGCAAAGACGGGGTTTTGATAAATCGCCTATACTAACAGGCTGTCTTCGCCTGCTATGAATCGCGCATACTATTTTCGCATTTTAAAATAATTTGCTTTTAGGATGAAGAAGAGTCAGATGCAACTGCTGCTTTACGACTTCGTGTCCTTCCCGAGAATATACAAGAAGAGTTGAAAAAACTGAAGAAGAAGCTGAAAGGAGAGGAAGTTCAGCAAGAAACTGCAACTGCAAGTAATGTCGAGGAAGACGGAGGTAATATTAGGTCGTCCCGAAAGTTTTTGCGCACGATTTTCAAAAATTCATAACTTCCCATTTTTCCGACCGATTTGACTGATTTAATTTTGTATGAAAAGGTAAACCATGCTCTTTAAAAAGACATCTTAGCTGCTTGCTAATGATCATCTGTTGCATAGATAGGAGCGATAGAAGAAAATTAGTCAAAATTCGAATTTTCTGTGTGGGGTTATAAAAAACTGGAAACTTGCGATAAAAATCGGAGCAGTCAGTATTGTAGGTTCTTTCACCAGTTCTTTCTATCAGTGCAAAGTTTGCGCCAATTGAGTGTCTCTTTGAAAAGTTATGATTTCCGTGAAAAATGCCAAAATAAATTAAATTCGCCCTTTTGTATTGCTTGCTCGAAAATTATAACTTTTCATAGAAACGCTCAATCAGCGCAAACTTCGCACTGTTAGAAAGAGCTGGTGAAAGAACCTACAATACCGACTACTAGGATTTTTATCGCAAATTTCCGATTTTTTATGACCCTACACATAAAATTCAAATTTTGACCAGTTTTCTTCTATCGCTCCTATCTATGCAACAGATGACCATAAGCAGATAAGGTGTCCTTATAAAGAACATGACTTACTCTTTCATACAAAAATAAAAGCAGTCAAATCGGTTAAAAAATTAGTAGTTATGAATTTTTGAAAATCGTGCGCAAGAACTTTCGGGACGACCTAATATATTTGTCCCTTTTTGGTTCGGTTATGTGTACAGGCGCGGTTCGATACGTAGGTGTTGAGTTCTTCGTTGTACATCCATTGCATTTTTTACAGGTCCGATTTCACTAGACAAAGCATGCTATTTCCACTTTTCCTTTTGATATCGTCGAACAAAAGCAGAAAAGTTTCACTTTTTAGACATAAAGCTATTTTCCGGCAGCACCAACATTGAAGGAAAACCATCGATAAACAGAGACCACACCACTGTAGACTCTGTTGGCAGCAAGGAAGGCGAAAAGAGGTTAGCTGAAATGGTAAGTGCCTTTTTTGTAAGCATAATTCGATTTACTGAAAATTTGTGCATGTTGTAATTGCTTTCAATTTCTAGATAAATCAGTTGCGTCGCCTGAATAGGATCTACACCTGGGGAGACAATGTTCCTGACCCATTCATTGGCTTTTTCGAGCTAAATCTGCCAGATGCTTTGCTGTCATCTTTGAAGGAATTTGGTATTGAGACTCCAACTCCTATACAGATGCAGGTCAGTATTTTTGAGAATATGTTCAACCAATTCCTATTTTGATCTCACTCTCTGCAATCTATTCTATCTTGTGTTTAGGCAATACCTTTTATGATGGAGCACAGAGATGTCCTTGCTAGTGCTCCGACTGGTGAGATCCATTTTCTCCATTATTGAAGCCATTCCTAATCTTGGTTTTTCTCATTATGTATGCTGGATTATTCAGGATCTGGAAAAACCCTTGCTTTTGCCATACCCATAATTTTGGATGTCCTAAGATTGAAGAAGTTGAAGAAATATAAGGATGGATCTAAGCTTTTGGCAATTGTATTAGAACCAACAAGAGAGCTGGCTGCTCAGGTATCTTTTTTGCGAGTTCTTAGGCTTTTTTACTGCATTTTATTGATTTTCTTTACTACCAGTCTTTTTTTTTGCGATCGATGGAAACCTTAATATCAATCAGTCACGCGCTGCAATTATAGAACACATGTTCATGGCCTGTTTGTCTTTGTGCGCTGCTCGAGAAATCATTGCAGTCTGTGGAATTTTCCCAGTGTTTTCTTTACACAGGCGTGCAAAAAATTGAAATAGTTTTACTTATATCCTGATCAAACCTCGTGAACATCGCTTTGAATTTCAGACTTATCGCCAGTTCCTGAAATTCAGCCAAAATTTGCCTGTGAGCACTGCTTTATTTGAAACTGAAGAAATCCCGCACAATGGTAAGTGTTTGGTCTATTCTTTTTTTTGTTGAGTTTTGGCAATGCATTTTTTAGTCGATGTTCTGGTCTCCACTCCAAATCGACTAACGCATCACTTGAAGGATATGAAACTAAAGTTTTTGAGGTATAAAGCATATTAAGTGTGGTTAATTACTGCAGTGTTTCTTTTTTTCGGAAGTTTTGGTCATCTGCTTTTCCTTGAATCCCCCATTACTGCCAACGATATATTTTTTCAGGTGGCTCATAGTCGATGAAAGCGATCGCCTTTTCGAAGTTGTCGAAGGGCAGGAGCGATGTTTTCGCAATCAGGTAAGTGCTATAGAGACTTCTAGATGAGGAATAGAAGAAGTCCTTCCAGCTAGCTGCAGTCTATAAGGCTTGTGATGGAAAATTCACTCGGAGAGCTTTCTTTAGCGCCACATTCTCCTACGAAGTTGAAGAATGGTGGGCCCTCGGTAGTTCTGATTTCGTACGCTTTGAAGTTCAAATTAAGGTGTAAGGAAAATCTGAACAATGTCGCTATGGTATGCATTGGAGAAAGGTAATTTCCTTACATAACAATCATTTTTTTTTTGAGTTTCTTATCTTTAGGAACTCAGCAAATACGAATGTAGAGCAAGAGCTGATTTTCGCTGGCTCAGAGCATGGTAAACTCCTTGCTATTAGAACTCTTTTGCAAACCCAGTTCGACCCGCCCGCGTTAATCTTTGTCCAGGTAACTTTAGCTAGTGACCTCACTTCATCAACAAGATGTCAGGTGTTTAGACAAAGGAACGAGCTAGAGAATTATTGTCGGCTTTGTCTTCTCTCACACCACCGATACCAGCAGCTTGCATTAGCAGCGAAAAATCGCAAAATGAGGTAAAACAATTTTTATTTCATGTTCTATTCAATCTTTGCCATGTGATCTACTGGTCACTTTTGTGAACTGTGATGTGATGGAGACAGCTCAGAAAGTTAGACGTGCTACCTCCAGAAATGCTTCATTTCAACATCTGATTATTCATTTTCGTGCATGCAAATGCAGTTCGAAATATCAGTTTTGCTGATTTAAAATGCATAAGATTTTGAGCACCAGTTTGCTTTCGTGGAGAAAATATCTCCTCATAGCAACAGATTTTATCGCCTTTTTAATTTGATTTCCGATTTTTTTTAGAGAGACCGCATTGTTGAGTCATTCCGCAGTGGTCGACTTTGGGTATTAATTTGTACTGAACTTATGGGTAGAGGTTTGGATCTCCGCAATGTGAACCTTGTAATCAACTTCGACTTGCCAACATCGATAATCAGCTACATACATCGAATAGGTATTCAATGTTTGTCTGTCTTTGCTTTTTCATTTTTTTGCCTAAAAAAATTCTCTAGGCCGAACCGGACGTGCTGGACGAAAGGGTCGCGCCATAACTTACTTTACCGAATCAGATACAAAATATCTGAGATCAATAGCTACGGTAATACATCAAGCTGGTTTCCAAGTTCCGGAGTATACACTTCATCTCAAGCCGTTATCTAGGTGGGAAGGATGCTTGAACGTGATTTTTTTTGATTTCAACAGTTTTTTATTCAGAAACGAGAAGAAAGAACTGATTCGACATGGTCCTAAGCGGAAACATATAGCCTTCATAAAAAAGAAAAAGAAAAGTGATGGTACAAAAGACGATGAGGGGTCTGTTCGTGTTACTAAGAAGGCCAGACACGATATTGGAGGCATCACGAAGTCGAAAGAAGAACTGAATGATGGAATCAAGAAGAAATCAAAATTATCTGCAAAGAGTGGGAGGAGCACAATATTAGATGAAAATGGCAGTGATCCCGCTGATAATGTATCAAAGAAAATAAATATCAGAAAGAAAAATAGATTATTAGCGCTTAGAAAAACTAATAAAGTAGAGTAATATTGTTAATAGTGTATCACAAGAAATTGTTGTTGTTGAATTTTTGTTGTTGTTTTCGTTTTCTTCTCTAGTTGTTTTTTTTTGTTTTCTCAATAAATAAATTTTTAATAAAACTGTGATTTTTTTTGAAAAATCGGGCAATCATCGCTGTGCGATAAGGATGCCATCAAAAGCATGGTGGTCTTTTTTGCGTAAGTCCGTGAAATATCTGATTTTTGAGTTGATTGGGCAGAAGATATTTGAAATTTTTATTGGTAGATGATTCTGCGACGGAACATCTGAGTTTTTGGTGGGATCACCCCCTGACATCCTGACCTAAGATTACGGTAAGTCATGAAATTTTGAAAAAGGTCTGGAAGTAACCTCATTGATAACTTAACTTTATGGTAACACCTATCTTTTACTCAAAAGTTTTTCAGCTGAAATTCTGTAATTGTGAAGCAAACATCTTACATTGCAGTTGAAATTTGACATAATCAACATTTTTATCCCCAAAATCCAAAGTCAAAAGTGAACGATTCAAGGAAAAAAGATTGCTTCTTGTGATTTTTTCTTTAATATAATTTTTAAACTCTATGAGTCGATGTGTGATATCACGCCAACTGTGGAAAACAACGATCAGCACTTTTGGAACATTTTCTTATCGCACCTATGATATGGTTACATTGCAGCCTACATCTCTGCCCATGTCTATGACCGTACGGGGCAATTTGATTCGATATACAGCCCTTAATGGCTAACCTGAAGCGATAATCACAAAACAGTCTGTTGAGCAAATTGTAGGCGGTAATTCTATATGATTGTTGCTGACGCAGTTATTCCTAATTCTAGACTAAGATCCAACTTTGTTTATTTTATATATGTCTAGTATTATTTGCTCGTTGCGATATATCGAATTGACTCAAAACTTCTTTCTTTTTCCTCTTAATGTCTAAAATTAACATAGCTCACATTAGAAGTGAAAACAAAAAACTTCTAACCCTAATAGCAACTGAAGACCATTCATTTGTTTTTTATTTTAACACAAAAAATGTGAGCCAATCTTATAAAAAAATCTCATGAACGTAGATCTTGACACTTCTTATCAATGATAGTGACTAATTCATTTATGATATTACTACAATTTCACTAGAGTTCGAATTACTGGCGACACCTGACGGAAGAATAAAATACAGGAAACTTGATATCAGGCTTGTAAAAAAAGCTTAAAACGTGTGAAAGTTTGCACAATGATTCTGTTTCTCTAGAAACTAATATTTCGCATTCAGAGTTCACTTTTTCGTTAGAAGCATGGTATAGTTCAAAGTTTATAAAATCATTTGGCATTGAAAGCAGCTTTTTTACTGAAATTGCAATTTGAAAATTTAGAAGACCCAATTCAGTTTTTAGCTTCTCATGCTTATAGAATCATGAGAATGCTATGAAAATCGCCATAGAATTATTTTGCATGTGAAAATGCGTCTTAGCTTTTTGCATATTTTTTCTAACAAATTTTTCTTGTAAAATGCTATGTCGATTTCACTAATGGGTGGTGTTTTGCTTTAGAGATGAAATTTTTTGCATGCAGTTTTTGCTTATAATTGATTTCGAAATATTCAGACTGAAGCCACTGAATCATGAACAGCAGGATGTAATTTATCTATCGATAGCTAGAGATTCAATAACTCCAATCCATACAATCGATACAAGTAGTTCTCTACAAGTCCAAAAATAGACCAGACATCTGACACAAAGTGCAAGGTTGTGTATTCCGAGCGTCCAGAATGCTTTGCACGAAATAAATCAACATTGAATGGGACTGAAGCGTGACAATGTTTAGCGAAACTCGCCTTTGCTTGATAAAATTGATTTTTTTAGATTGTACCCTAAAAAATAGCATGGATCAGCTCAATAGGGACGTTTTGCTTCTAATCTGCTCTTATTTGGATCTCGGAGCCCTAGCAAGCTTATCTGTAGTTTATCCAGGATTGTCAAATGATATTTTCCGAATATTGAGGAGCACGAGATGGGCGCTCAAGCTGGTGAGTCTATTTCATTGCACCTTTGATTTTTTCTATTTTTATTGTACTTTTATTTATCTAGAATAAAAATAAAAATAAAATTATTGTATGTCACTTGAGTACTTATTGTGAGCCAAAATGATAGTATCAACACCAGCTTTGAACAAAAACACCATAAGGCCCCGGACAGACTTCACGCGATTTGATCGTCGCGACTCAATCTCCGACATTTCCATTCATTTTCATTTCACATTCAAAAATTTCGGGCTGGAAAAGTATCACAACCGAAATGCAAGTTGATCGGCATGGAATGATGTTGTAACAGTTGTTTCGTCGCGATTCAGTCGCGACGATCAAATCGCGTGAAGTCTGTCCGAGGCCTAACCCGAATCGAACCAGATGTCAATTACGGAAGTGAAAACCAATTGATTTTCAGTTCTACGCGTTTTTTCATAGTTTAGATTGGGATTCTGAGCGGGTATGCATATGCGAAACTGTAAATTCAGAGCGGACAGAACGATTGCATAAATTCATCAGAATTATTGTTAAAGGAAATTTTCGAAAGAAACTATACAAACTGAATAGTTTGGAATAGGAGATGGAGATATTTTCAAATTGTTTTGGCTTGATTTCGTTGTCGATAAATATTAGGTCATTTCAAAAGTTCGTTCGCCAGTTTTTTAAAATATCATAACTTCCTTCCTTCTTGGTGGAATTTTTCTTTTTAATTTTTATTTGAAAGAAGAAACCTTTTTCTTTACAATAGTGTCTTTGCCATGAAATAGCATGAGATTGTTCGAGAGTTAGAAGCAATTGAATAAACTTACTCAAGATTGGCATTTTTTAAACTGGATCACGAAAAATTCCGAAAGTGTTATTATTTGATAGAGAAAATTATGCTCTGTACTGCAGTGCCTTTTTCACGAATTAAAACGAAAAAGATCGAAAGTTACAAGCACATACAGAGAATTTCTTCAGTTTTGCAGTTTTTGAGCATGCCCAAAAAAGCCCAAAAAAGTCAGAAAAAGGCGGGAAAGCCAAGAACAGGGGTTTTGTTACCTTCTCTTTCTAGCTAAGGGATTTTTGTGCTAAGAAAGAACAGTTTTGATTTTCATGGAAACGTATAGCAGATTCCTAAAAAATCATTACTTTTCATAAGAACAGTCGTTCAACAAAGAGTTTGCCTAGCTAGAAAGACGAGAACATAAAATATACGTTTGTGTTTGTTTCGGTATTTTTTGTAACGTTCTAAAATTTTTGGTGAGCTTTTTTAAAATTACCAAAATTTGAGTGGTCTTCTTTTTGGATTTTTAACTCTGCGACTTGTGCTTGGTTCAACGAATTTAAATTATATTTTATCCCAGGCAAATCTAGGCAGACAGCAGAGAGTCACGATTTTTTAAAGAACAGTGCGAACGAACTTTTGAAATGACCTAATATTTTTTTTTTGTACAGAAAACCTAAACTGAGAAGATAGATTACTGCTCTCACTTTGTGATTTTTGTTAATTTTTGATCTGTAAAAAATAAATTACATGTTACAGAGAATTCTTCCACAATATACCAGCATGGCGTACATTTCTATACCAAAATCGAACTCCCACATCTCATTACCGGAAGAAAAACCAATCCAGGTAAATGCGAAAAATAACGGGCTAAAACCCCCTACAGAACGTTTTATTTTTACCCAGGACGACCTCTTACTAGGACAATGGACTGAGTTACGAGGGGTAGTAAGAAAACAAATCCCGTACGAATCCATGCATATCACATATTTGGACATTACACAGGTAAGGAAAGGTTTTACTAATTTTTGTAGTAATTTTTGAACCTTTTATAGTTCGGATCCGCCACTGTGCCTGCGGATGTAAAATATATTTTGGGAGCTATAGAAACGGATTTACTGAGCTTGAAATACGAAAGCCGAACCGAGGCTCGAAAGATTCTTGAACGGGTATCATTTAACCCTGGAGCTACCCTATACATGCATGAGCTCACTTTTGAGAAAGCTACGTAAGTCTGTCAGTTTTGTGCTTTTGCTGTGGTGATTTCAGAAGAAATTTTTTAGTGAACCACTTATTCCTACCGAACTAACACATATCGACGATGTCTGGTTCTGCGGTGACATCTTGCCAGCCGACTTTATCACTCTACTGTCCTCAGAAATTTCGTCTCTTTGCCTAACATGCGACCGAATACGGAAGGATTGTGTAGTAATAGTAAGAGAATACATAAAGGTATCTCAAAAAATTCTTCATTGATTAAATTTGAATCTAATTTTTTCAATCACAGAATTTCCTTGATGGTAGGACCAATCAAACAAGCTGCAGGATCAGTTCGAGTGGAGAACTTTTGCGGCATGTATTTGAGGTAAGGAAAGTCCCTATTGCAGTGAAATTTTTTCATTTAATTGCATAATCTATGTTTTAGGACTTAGCTGGAGTCGGTGAAGAATGTATGGCTAATGGACCCCGACGCGTTCATCTCATTAGCGCTTTGGAAGAAACTCCTATACATTGCTTCATTGATGCTGTAAATACTTGTACATAAATCTTTTTATTGATATTGATCACTTGATCCTGCGTTTAAACGAACGCGCTGCGTATCGTATGTATTGTTTTTTTAATGTGCTTAAAAAATGGAATAATATATGAAAGAAGACACAGCTGTTTATCTGCCGTACCCTATAAAAAATCCATAAAAACCTCATGCTATATCCAATAGTGTTACGAAGGCGTGCACACATTGTTTGATTTTTAATGACTTTTTTGCTTTGAGCTCGTTAGCGAATGTAAATATGTTTATTATTCTGTAGAGCTGATTCCTACTTATTACCACAAAAGGGACTGTGGATCTTTTTTCGTTGGTGTAGGATTACGGCAGCGACTTTTAGGCCTCGGGCAGACTTCACGCGATTTGATCATCGCGATTGGTCGCGACAAGACAACTGTAACAATATCGTTGCATGCAGATCTTCTTGCAACTCGGTTGCGATAGTTTTCCAGCACGACTAATCGTGACTAACTATCACAACTGAAATACAAGAAGATCGACATGCAAACTCGTAACACTTGTCTTGTAGCAATTGAATCGCGACGATCAATCGCGTGAACTCTGTCCGAGGCCTTACGAGGATTTTACGATAGAAGAGCCATTTTTGCCTTACAAAAATCTAAACAAGTAGAAGTTTCCACTAGTCGAACTTGACAGCTAATCCAAATAAGAATTAGTCCAAATGCAAGTTCCAGGGTCTCTCTTCTCTAAACCTGGGCATATTGATGTATTGTCTTCTGTTATATTATGCCAGAACCAGGTTTTTACGGTGGTAATGTTTATTGACCTGACGCGTTTCGACTAAGTCGTCGTCTTCGGAGGTCTGAAAACAATTTGCAGTCTTCTTTCATCTACGAAGCGAAACCGCCAAACGCCATCACCAGGCATTGCTTTGTCCAGAAGTTGTCTCATGCACAACGTACTGAAAAACGTATAGATGAAGAACGAACCTTGATCCACCGTGATGTTAGTGAAAGTTAGTAATAGCCGCACGAAAGTAGTGGGCTGTGCGATGTCTTTACATGTGCAGGCTGCAGCTCGCATATCGACAAGAAAGGCAAGAGGTCGGTCGTTATAGAGGAACATTCATTTTTGCTATTCATGCTAGGATTCCTACTGGAAATCCATGCGGCTTCCATGATCTTCCTCGTAAATATCTCTGTCTCGTACGATAAAATTGTGCACTTTACATCAAAATCACCATTATCGTGCGCCTCGAACTTATGTCTTCCCAACGGTGATGCTAAATTTCTTCGTCTTTTATCTGCTAAGTGCTCTCTGACTCTTACATATAGCGCTCTACCAGTTTCTCCTATATATATCGCATCGCAGCTCAAGCATTGTAGTTGGTACACAACTCCTGACCTTGTACAATCACCTACTTTTCCGTGGGGACATTACCACCGTAAAAACCTGGTTCTGGCATGATATAACAGAAGACAGTCCAAATGTAATTGCACGTCACTGTATTGGCTTGTTTGCAAGTTATGCTAGGTTACAACAGCTGTTTTCTCCGTGTCCCAATAACGTTAGTAGCTAATCTGCTATAGCGCTTTTTAGTGGAAGTTCCTATATTAATCTTACGGTAATAAAGAGTACGTTGAATTCACTTTTACTTCTATATCTATATGGCACCCATTGGTTCGGTGAATAGGCAGGATTATTTACGATAGAATAATATGTACAACTTCCGAGATACCTGGTATAAATACCATGCATAGCACAGTGCAAGTCGGAGCATGGGTGGTTTAGATGCCATGCCTTTACATTTTCCACTTCTCTTAGAAATTTAGCACCAGCTTTTTATTATAAGCTGCAAACATCCAAGCTAAAAACTGCATCGCGAACAACAGGATGCAATATATCTATCAATAGCAAGAGATTTATTAATTCCATTGCGCTACAACTAGTTTCTACAAGTTCAAAAATAGAGCAGACATTTGCCACGAAGTATAAAGGTATGTAGTGCGAACGTCACGAATGCTTTGCACGAAATAAATCAACATTGAATGGAACGGAGTCCTACCAGTGTCTATTGAACTTGCTCAAAATTTAATTAATTGATTTTTTCAGATTGTACCTAAACTGGATCGTCTAAGTAAGGACTTACTGCTCCTGATCTGCTCCTATCTGGATCTGAAAGCCCTAGCAAATTTATCAGTGGTCTATCCAAAATTGTCAAATGATATTTTTCGAACACTGAGGAGCAGTAGATGGGCGCTCAAACTGGTAAGTGCTTTCAGCTCACTTCTTAACTTTCCATTTCTATTTTTATTCCGTTTATGCACTTATAGTGAGTGAGAAGTGAAAAGGAACCTATAAGTTTAAACAAAGACGCTATAACTCGACAAATCCTATGGGATCCCCGAAGCATTAAATGTATTTTTGAGTTTTATAATTCTCTAGATGACTTTCGAAAACGATTGGGAATGAACTTAGTTTACATTCAAAGAGTATGTGCAAGCGTAGATTTAGAGCACATATGTGGTTTACATACGATTTTGTTAAATTTTTGTTGGAAGATATTTCAGGAATTATATATCAGGGTTGATCTAAAAGTAACGAGACACTTCCATTTTTTTGCGATGCTAAAGGTTTTTTCTGATAAACAAAACAACCAGCAGCAAAGACACTGTATAAAGTGATTTTTGCATGTTGTCCTAGCGATCCGAATTTACTGCTGTACTACATACTTCAAAGTCCCTGGGCATATGACATATTATTCAAAAGTGCTTTTCAAGTTCTTTTCAAATTTCTTGGAAATGCAAAAATTCTTCATTATTTTATGTGAAAGAGGCAGGTTATTCGAAAGACTGCATTATTTGGCGCAGATTTTCAGGCTACGAAACAAGTTTTAGCCCACTATTTCTTGAAAAAGGAATAATTTCGAGGTAAATTGCATATGCTGGATAGAGTGTAAACAGCTCTATCACATCCGTCGAAGTGAGCCCATTGAAGCTCTCGAATATGGGGTTTCAAATTTTGCGATTTTGAGTTTGGTGCCAGAAAATCACAGAGTGCCGCTAGCGAGCTGAAAAAAATCTGTAGAATTAACCTGACAACAAAACTCCATATTTTACTTTGGAAGGCTTTGATCTTGCACGGTGAAGCAAAACCAAATTCGTGAAATATGTCATTTTCTGGAAAAAATCCCCTCATGTCCGCAGTTTTTCGGCGAAAACACTTTTTTACACTCGAGAAAACGTCGCAAGGCTTTAAGGCACCATGTCTAATTTCTGTTGCAAACTGTGTTTCTGTGGAAAAATTACACCGATAAAGGGATTTGTCCTGTGAAGTGAGAAATTTCACAAATTTTTTGTTTGCGCATTTCCATGCGAGATCAAAGCCTGCTAAAATAACGTATGGAGTAAGTGAATTCTACAGATTTTTTTCAGCTAGCTAGGGGCTCTCTGCGATTTTCTGCCACCAAACTCAAAATCGCAAAATTTGAAGCCCCATATTTGAGAGCTTCGTTCTCGATGGCTAGCTCAAGGAATCTTGCGCTTGAACTTATGTCAAGCATAAGACTTCTAATAATTCTAGCATACAAGATTGTGAATTTAGGTTTAGTCTTTGAAAAGTTATCGAATTTTGATTGAATTACGCAAGAACTTTCGAGCCAACTAATATTTTCGGCAGTCTTGCTTGTTTCACTGCTTCGGTGCTGCTCTAACAGGGAAACGATACTCGGTGTCCGCGGCCTATTAAGATGATATGTATACCATTACAGTCGTCTTGGAACACTGATTCCGAATCTGACTTCTGTTTCTGCTAATCTCTTCAAAAATGTTATAATGGATCGCGCGGATTGTGGATGCCTAGTGAAATATGGTCGGTGCGCGAACGCTACCGGTGCACTATGGTCTAGTGGTTAGTGCGATAGCCCCATGAGTTGATGCAGTTGCAAGTTCGAATCCTTTTGTGTTTTTCAGTTTTGCATTGCCTCAATTAATCTTCTTTCGCATCATCGAGCTAAGTGAACGCCCTTGATCTTCAAAAAATGTGAAAATTCGAAAAATGATAACTATTTGCGCTAAATTGTATCCAATGATCATAGCTCAAGTAAATTTTCTCGAACAAGCTTAGCTGAGGTAATGCAAAAGTAAAAACACAAAAGGGTTTGAACCTACACCTGCATCAACTTATAGGGCTATTGCACTAACCACTAGACCAGAAAGTGGCCGCGGTACAGGCCGTTCCAATGGCCATATTTCCCTTGAGCAGCCAAACTTGGCTCGAAATTCTCCCTTAACTTCTTTCAGAGAAACGATTAGCAGAAACGGAAGGCAGATTTGAAATCAGCGTTCGAAGACGAGTGTAATGGTATGAATCACGTTTTGAAAGGCCACGGACATTGGGTATTGTTCCCTTGTAAGTTCGAAACTACTTGAAGTGACAAGCTTAGATTTTGAGCACTTATAAATCGACGCCATGCGACAGTGACCATCTATAGACCTCGATCTGAAGGTTTGGTATGCCCTAGCATCTGCCAAAACTTGACGTCCATTTAATTTTTCTGATGAGAAAACTGGATTTGCTCTACAGGTGTACCATCTCTTTTGCATCACCCATAAATTTGAAAAGGTTGGAGTAGGAAGTTGAGATTTTTTTAGGAGCTTTCTTTGGTTTTGATTTGTAGTGATTGAGGAGAAGTTGCTTCTGTTTTGCAAAAAATCACAAGTCCAAAAGATAGATTACTGTTTGTACCTCAGTATCTTTTGTTATTTTTTGGATAAAAATAAAATTACATGTTTCAGAGAATTTCTTCACGACATACCAGCATGGAATATATTTCCGTACCAAAGTCGAAATCCCATATATCATTACCGGAAGACAAAACAATCCAGGAAAAATACAGAACGCTTTTATCCGTCCAGGACGATCTGATGCTGGAAAAATGGACTGAGTTACAAGGGGTAGTCAGAAAACGAATTCCATACAACTCGATGCATATTAATTTTTTAGACATTACACAGGTTGGAGAAGAGCTGTGGTAGATTTTTATGTAATTTTTGAAAGCCATTTATAGTTGGGATCCGTGCCCACCGATGTGAAACATATATTGGGATCCATAAAAACTGATCTGTTGAGCTTGAATTATTGCAGTCGAGTGGAAGCTCGGAAAATTCTCGAACGGATATCCTTTAACCCCAGAGCTACCCTACACATACATGAATATAATTTTGGACAAGATACGTAAGTTTTCCACTCTTACGCTGTTGTTGAGTTTCAAATGAAGCTTTTTCAGTGTACCACTTATTCCCACTAGACTCACCAATATTGAAGACGTCTGGTTCAATGGTGACATCTTGCCAGCCGACTTCATAACCTTACTCTCGTTAGAAAACTTATCTCTTTGGTTATCATGTAATCGAATAATATGGAAAGATTTTGTTGTATTATTAAGGGAGTACGTAAAGGTAGTGCCAGATTATTAGACAATTGGTGAAATGACTTACATGATTCCAATTACAGAATTTTCTTGATGGTAGGACAAATCAGACAAGTTGTAATATCAATTTACGCGGGAAAGTGTTGAGGAATGTATTTGAAGTGAGGAAAAGTCTTCATTACATTGAAAAATTAAATTAGTTGTACCATTTCCGTTTTAGGACAAAGCTGATGTTGATGAAGAGTGCATGGCTAATGGACCTCGACGTGTTCATCTTATTAGCGACACACACATTACTTATATACGTTGCTTCATTGATGCTGCAAATACATGTACATAAATATATTTATTGATTTTGTTGATCATTGGATTTTGCGTTTCAACAAACGCGAGTATTGTCATTTTTTATATCTGCTTTGGACAAAATGGAGTGATATTTGAAATAAGACACAGGTATCTATTCACCTGCTGTGTCGTAAGAAATCAAAAAAAAAAAATCAAACTCATGCACTATCTTTGAATGTGTTCCGAAAGCGTGTATCTACACAGTGTTTGATTGCTAATGACTCTTTTACGAGCTCTTCAACCCATTGACGACGACGCCTAATTTTGCGTGGCGGCGCTATGGGACGACGCGATTTTGCACAACAATTGCGGCGCGGGAATTTAGTGATTATTTACGGAATGTAAAAATGTTTTGCAAACAACTACAGCCATCTTCTTGGACGACAAAGTTTACAGGTTGCAAAGGTGCAAAAACTTGGAAAAAATGCTGAATTCTGGAAAAAATACTAGACTTGAAAAGGATAAGATTTTGCAAGGGGTGTGGGCCACCGGTGGTCCACATCGTCCCTGGCGGCAAAAAGTTCGTGGGCCACCGGTGGTCCACATCGTCGTCAATGGGTTAACTATGTAATATATACAAAGTGTTTCAAAAAAATGTATGAACGTTTGATCTTTAATAACTTCCTCATATGGGAAGCTTTCGCGGATCTTCGAGTGCCATACGTTAGGGCTAGCTTCAGCTTAAATTCACAGTATAAAGTAACTCACCTACCTCTCTCAGTTACTGTAGGATTACCATAGGAATTCTTCACTAATTTTAGACTTCTGAGAGAGGAGAATCGCTTCTAAAAAATTCCTAAAAACGAAGGACGTCGAACTAAGGTTTCCAGGGATGCTGAGTCTAGTTACAATGTATTCGCTACCGTACTCAGCTTCTTACGGTGTGCGCACTGTAATGCTAAATTTTTGGCCTTTCAAAACTTTTCAAATCCTTTAATTGCAAATATTGAGTGCAAAACGTTACGAAATCAGATTTCAAACATGGTGATTTGATTCGATTGACTTCGACGTATTTGTAACTGCGAAGTTGATTCAGTAAATTGTGGGCCAAAAACTCAGCGTTACAGTACTTGCCATAAGAAGCTGAGGACTACGATAGCGGAAAATATTGTAATTGAATTCAGCATTCCCGAAAACCTTAGCTCGACGTTTTTTGATCTTTGGGATTTTTAAGAGCAATTATCGTCTGTCAGAAGTCTAAAATAGTCGAAAATTCCTACCGTAATCCTGCTGTAACTGAGAGAAACCGGTGATTTGCTTTATACTGTAAATCTAAGTTGAAGCTAGCCCTAATGTATGGTACCCAAAGATCTGCGAAAGCTTTCCATATAAGGAAGTTATTAGAGATCAAACGTTCGATACAATTTTTGGGACACCCTCGTATTTATCATTCTGTAGAACTGATTTCCACTTATTTACACCACAATCGAATCGTCTTCATGGTTCTTTCATAAGTAATACCTAAAGTAACGAAAATGAGGCAAAGAGAAGCAGACCCCGTGAGGGAACATTGCAAAGATGAAATAAAAGAAGAAGGAATCGTGGATCTCTTTTCGTTGGTATGGAATTGGTAGCAACTTTTATGCATTAGGATTGCCATTTTTTGCTCACAAAGTCCAAATAAGAAAATTCTTCCACTATTCGAATTCAAAGTGGCTAATTCAGATTAAAGTTTTGCACTTTACTGTGGTGCCTTGTTTGAAAGTTATTCTATGTAGGATTTAAAGGCAGTACATCGGCAGAATGAGACTCGTGACAAAACAAGGTCACAGGGTAGGAGCCCCCATATGGAACCTATCGGCCAAAGTCCGATCTTTCTCTGCCATTTCTAACCCCCGAAATCTCAAAGCGAAAGCAGCGCTCATCTCCTGTCCTCTCCGAACCCGCCCACCCCATGGACGAATGACTTCCGCGGTCAGAGCGCCAGCCGCAATGCTATAAGCATGAGGTCCCGCAACGACTCTGCGTCTTCGCCATGACGGGCTTCGCGTAATTTACAGTGTAGATAATCGGAAAACATTCTTCCAATCCATTAGCTGAGGACGGTATCAATGTCACGGAAAAAATCGAAGCCGCCGAGTGAACGCGAAGCCCGTCGACGGGCTTCGCGTTCACTCGTCCATGGGGTGGGCGGGTTCGGAGAGGACAGAAGATGAGCGCTGCTTTCGCTATGAAATTTCGGGGGTTAGAAGTGGCAGAGAAAGATCGGACTTTGGCCGATAGGTTTCATATGGGGGCTCCTACCCTGTGACCTTGTTTTGTCACGGGTCTCATTCTGCCGATGTACTGCCTTTAACAACTGTTTTTTCGATGTTTCAATAAACGTTAATATCTAAATTACTAGAGCGCTTTTACCGGAAGTTCCTACCGTAGTTCTACAGTAATGAAAATTCCAGTGAAGCCACTTCTAAGTTCGTTATGAATCTTCAAGTAAAAGTATTTACTGCCGGGTTTCATGTATACACTTCTGGGTTACCTTTTATTTCATACAGTACCGAACTTAGAGGTACTGCGAACGTCGTAAACTTGGGTTTGGATCCAGACGCCACCTCTCTTTTTGGCTTATTGTCCCCACACTTCGCTCAAAAAAGCTCTAGAGTTGGCCAGATTTATGTCTGCAAGGTTTTTCATATGATAGAGATACATCTGGAATACAGAAAATGCGAGGTGGGTAAAGTAAAATCTGAAAGTATTGACATCGCTTGTTGACCAATCTTTTCTTGAAATTTTTTTTATTCTTGTCCCTCTTTCTTGAAATAAGCAAGACTTCACTCATAAAAGATCGCTCCTTCTTTACCGTTCTACAGTTCTTTTCAACACGTATTGGTTTTTTCTACCGTATGCCTTCCAGCCTCAACATGACGTGGATTGGTGTGGATTGGTGTGGATTGGTGTGGATTGGTGAGGCGCCGCATCGCTTCGGGTTTGCGCCGCGTTGCTTTTCTCGGCGGCGCCGCACCAATCCACACCAATCCACACCAATCCACGTCATGTTGAGGCTGGAAGGCATACGGTAGAAAAAACCAAAACCTATTGAAAACGACTGTATTCAAGATAGGACATCTGTCTTCTTGCTTATCACTCATCTGCTCAAGCTTTATATCTGTTCAAGACCCAAGGTTATGGTAGAGAACCTAAACCGCGATGTAATCTTTGACATCTGCAAATTCATGGATCTACCTTCCATTGTCAGCTTGGCGGCTGTGTTACCTCAAAGATCTGCGGACATTTTTCGTGTGCTCAAGAAACGGGTCTATTCTTTGCGAGTGGTCAGTTTGTTTTACCCAATGGTAAGTAGGCTAATCATTCTGGTAATTTAGGAGATTGTTCCGCAACATATTTCGGTGGAATATTATGAGATGAAGAATGAAACCGAGAAGGTAATTTGACTTTTCACATGTTGGTCTTGCCGTATAAATTTTGTTCCAGGATAAATATTGGATTTTTGAAAAACTGCCAGTTCTTCCGAAAGCTATTTGGCGAGACATCCCATTCGCTATGCTGCACACGGAATGCCTTGAGATTACTCAAGTATGTATGTCTATGAGCTAGAATTCGGTACCGGAAGAAGGCAGATGTTCAGTTACGGTAAGCGCATGTGGACGCGGCGCGCAAGCGGTTAGTCACACGCCATACTGAATCCACAGATCCACTTCGCTATTGGTCAATACAGGAATTTGATCAATAGCAAACTGGAACAATTTTAAGCTTAGCGAACGGCTAGCAATAAGTTGGATAAGACTGACGCGTGCACTAGTTATGCGCTCATACCTCCGACAATAAGTGTTCGACCGCCGCGTTCGCATCCACTTCGCGACCATGAACCATCCGCCGTTAATCGGGAATAGTTCTTAAATGATTGTTTTATTTTGGTTATCCCTCTGATTGTATATATTTAGGGGGCCCAAATACCCGAAGAGGTTGAGAGAATCTTACATGAACTTGTAATTCACTCCATGTCTTTACAATTTGTTTGCCGATTGGAGGCGAAGAAAGTTCTCGAACTTGTTACCTTTACGTCAGGAGCGAGGTTAAGCATGTTTGAGTTATCGAAATCCATTGCCAGGTATCCCTCGGTCACCTATCTAGCACAAAATTTTTTATTTAGCTGTTTTGTTTCAGCGAATCTCTAATACCGCAGAGGTTATTTGATGACGGTGACGAGCTGGTATTTGTTGCCGACATGCTCTCGGACGAGTTTTCACGATTGCTAAACTCGGCTGTGCGGTACGTCTTCATCACCTGCGAACGGCTTCGGCCGGAATTCACCTCGTTGCTCAAGGAATACATCGAGGTGTGGAATACGGATGGTTATTGATTTATCTGATCGATTTTTCAATTTTCATCATGTAAAATCAGATTTAGCGGTTTCTGAGGGACGAAGTCAAACAGCTTACCTTCTCGCTGAGGACCATGAGCAGATCTTTGCGGGACATCTTTGAGGTGAGTAAACCTTGGATATTCACTAAACAGCAAAAGTTATGCCTAAAGGCAGCACCAAGTACGGCTGGTTTTGTGATAGTGATGATGCCGCAGTTGCGGACATTGCCGCGGCGCGGCACAAGTCCTTTAAATTGTTGAATAGAGCAGATATGCTACAGTATATGTTTACTGATTTTTCTGGACAACGTACTGTCCCATAAAATATGGTTTACAGTCTTTGTAAACAGTTTTTTTTTTCAAATAATTCTTGAAGGCGCTGTAAAAGAATCATATTTTGCTATATTTCGTCCATTTAAAACAAAATTATGTTGCATCTACATCACCACTCGCATTTTTGTCTAAAGAAATTTTTAAATTCAGAACGTTGCCGGCCGAGGAGAAGTGCTTGTACGTATTGGTAGTAAACAGATCGAATTCTCATATGATCGCGGAACATCCGAATTGTTCTGCTCGACCGTAGAATAGAAGGCTTTGGAATGTTGTACATTTTTGTATAAAAATTTCTTGCTTTGCATTTATCGCTCATTTTGTTGAAGTGCCAATTTTCGCTTTTTCACAGCTGGAACTGCGTAGGGACCTATTGTTGTTTTCACAAATAAGTGTACTTTTAGCCTATTTTTCCCTTTTTTTAAAATTTTTTTCGAGATATATTCCACTCAGAAAGCAAAAATTGGCATGGTTTTGATATTGAAATTGTACAAAAGCTTTACTATTCATCGCAAGCTGTCATCCAAAGTAAAGTATTATTCATTGGCCTCATTGGGTTAGCTATTCGGAAGTTCCGAAATTAAGATGGATAGCATCATGACAAGAACCATTGCTATGGCTGCAGATTACAAGAGTGACGATTGATTGAGGAGTACGATTGGCGTAATGGTATGAGGCGTTGCGCTAGCGCATGAGACCGAGGTTCGATCCTCGTCCACGGCCAAACGTGTTTTTTCCCTCTGCTGTAGCTAAAATATTACCACTCGATCAATTCCGCTCTTGCCATAACTTTCAAGAGGGTTTTCTTTGGTGACATTACATGTACATGATATCTAGCGATTTTTGAGGAAGCTGTTTTTTTTTCAAAAATGGAGATAATTTTTATTGAGCTGCAAAAAGAAGATCTGCATTTGTACCGTATCTATGATTTTGGACATAGTCCATATAAAATATTGTCGCACTTCTCCTTAGGACAACCCTTGCATGTGTCGCCAATAGTGTAGATCATATTGTCGTCGCTGAATCAAGAAGTTTCCCGACTTGGGTTATCCAACGAAATTGTACTACTCACTCATCATATTGACAGATCACATGGGTTGTTCCTTGCTTTTTACACTCCCTTACTGAACAACCGAAATTTCTCGCATCTTGACGCATCATCTGAAACTTTTTTATTTACGACATTTTGAGAAGAAACTTTGAAGATTTACATTTGCAAAAAACTGCGCTTTCTTCAGCCCTGTACTTGTGACATTTGGGCCTCGTATGTCTTCATAATCCCCATCTCTGTACCATTCCTCTATCGCCTATAATATTATTTTCTCTAAAAATGCAGTTTTCTAGTTTTTGAGTAATCATCGTCGAACCTCTTTGAGGGCTTCCTCCTTTGCGACTTTATCATATATGTAATAATTTATGCTGTAGCCTTGATCTGCGGTATAAAAGTCCGTATTGCAATCAATCTTAATTCTTGACAGTTCTCCGAGCATGTCGCAATCGTAACTCTGGAACTTATACTTAGTTATTTTTATTTTCTAATATTTTTAGCCCTTACCAGTTGATGCATTGCTTTTGCTGGTGGTGCATAATCCCTTCTGTCTCTACCGAATCCTGTCGCCACTAACCTCCTGAAGAGTTGAAAATTATGTGCAAAATACGATGTTTCTTCTTTTCTCAGATTGTCAAAGAACATTTAGATTCAGCTATTCAGACAATTGGAAGACCGAAATTTCCACCTATCCTCATATTTTGTAAAGGGCGGGCATATTTTAAGCGATTTCAGTACGACGCGATTTGGCAATTCGCCAGAAGTCTTCAGATCCAACACTAGCCAACTGCACATGCATAGTGTGTATAACTTACTTGGACTGATAAAATGCCTCATCTTCTGTACATTTGAAATGTGCCTACAGTGAGTTATGGACAGTTGGAATATTGCCAAATCGCGTCGCCACTGAGATCGCGTGAGGTATGCCCGACTCTCAAAAAGGCATTATTCAAATTTATCCGGTAGTGAAATTGTACGGAAGCCGTGCATTATTTTGGTGATTTTCTTTCAAAAATCAAACCGCTATATTCCATAATCTTTCCATGTGAATTCGAAGGTTCTGCAACAATTGAATACTAGTAATTTTTCAAAATATTCAAGGATTCATTTTTTTGCATACCAACTACATTCCCATTGTACATTGTAAATTAATATAAGTTGCACCTATATCTTGAAAGCACAACTCATAAAGAAGAAGAATAGAGCTAAAAAACTTTTCCGTCCCCACAGCTGCATATGGCAGAGACACAAAACCCGTTTTACTCGAAACTTTTTCAATAAACAAATTCACAACGTAGAGCGGGCATAAAAAAATTCTAAAAAATTCTGAATTTTTATCCTTAGAATCATTAAGAATCATTACATACCTGTAATGATTGTGCATGTCTCTGGCCATTTTTTGCAAGTAGTAGCCCATATCATCTTTGCCATGCGTGCACATGTCTTTCGGTCCGTTAATGATAGGGCTTGCTAAATTATGACTGTGTTCTAATAAGTGGTCATCATTCAGTTTAGGGCGGGGCATACCTCACGCGATTTCAGTCGCGACGCGATTTGGCAATTTGCCAGAAGTTTCAGATCCAACACTAGCAAACTGCACATGCATAGAGCGTATAACTTACGTGGATTGATAAAATGCCTCATTTTCTGTATATTTGAGTACAGTAGGAATATTGCCAAATGTCCGACAGAAATCGCGTGAAGTATGCTCGGACCTTTTAGAAGCTTGTGGCTATTTTGGGTCTTCATCTTGAATAATAAAATTATTTTTCTATCCATGTACGGCACAAAATCAGTTAAAAATATGAAATGCCAATGCCCTCAGACTAATCATGCTATTATACGATAACTCAATATGGGTTTTTTTTTGATAGACTGAATGGATGTACTGTACAAAAAAGTTAATGGAAATTTGACCTCTCAAAGAAATTGCAAGCTTAGTGTAGGGTTCAAGAGGCAGAAGTAGAGATGAAAACATGGTAATGCTAAAATTAACGTCATTATGATTTTTTCGCTCTCTCCACCCATTTTCCTAGCAAAATCATAAACTTTGGAAGAATGTCAGAGAAATAATATTTGACCCTCTTGAACAACTCATCCAGAATCGATCATAAGTTCATCTCAGTTTCTTTTCTTTCTCTCGATGTTGTCGTTTTTTCTGCGTAGGGACTCTTTTCCTTTCCAACATGTTTTTGCTGATTTAAGAATGGAAATAAGCGGCTCACCTAAGCGGCAGTCTTTTTGGCAGAGATACAAACTGCACGTTTGCATGCACGCGGAACAGGTGTCTAATACAGTTCGGCCGGTCATGTACAATTCACCACCGATTGGAGGCCTGAATTATAAGATCGCTTCAGGACCATGGAAATCTTATAGGCAATGTCCAGACAAATTTTGGCGCTTTTTGTATGCGGCGATTAAGAGGCTCTAGCTAAGCGACTGCCTAAGCGGACTCAGTTTGAGCTTCCAAGTACAACTCTATGTTCCATAACGACCTACTACTCTCGAGCCGACCAATCAGAGCCCTCGAGTACGGTGGAAAGTACGGTCTGGGCTTGATTCAAGAGTGGTGTTTCTCGACCACCAATGAATCCTTGGTACTGCCGCTTGGGCAGTTGTTTAGTCGAGGTCTCTTCAGTTCTCTATAAGGAAATCTAACTAAGTCCAGTTTTGCCTGAACATAATATTTTTATTATAAATATTTTTGTTTACTAACTTCCTATTATAGAGACACAGAAGTTCACTGCTGCCATCCATGCATTTGCCATATGAGCATGCAAACGCTGTCGATTTTGAATAAGACATCTGAAAATGACAATTTGAAGGGTGCATCTGCGGTAAATCAAACTTAATGATGCTAACCATTCCAAACTCCTTGATCGTTTTCACATCGTAAAGAACGTCAACTGAGAGGTCGACCTTCTTTGCTTGGTTCCACCAGTTTCTAAGCACTTGCTCTGTTCTCATCTGCGTACAGTTCAGATCACAAGCATCGATTACGAATCTGTAACTCAGAAGGTTTGCAGAAATATAATAATGCCAAAGTCTGACTTGTTTAAGAAAATCACTCCATAAGTGTCAGGTATATCGATTTTATTGCAAATAAACAGATCTGCAGCTCTTTCCATATTACAATCCCATTCCTAGAAGAGTTTATCACTGATTTTTGAAAAAAGCTTGCTACAAATTCTCACGTACAAGCTCGTTCATATCGGCTGCACTTGGCATATTGCCATAGTTCCAGTTGAAAAAGTCCTTTGTCTCCTGCTCGCCTTTAGCGACTATTCTTCGGTTTTCGTTGTGAAAATCCAAAACCATCTGTCTCCATTTATTTGTAATCAAGGGATTGCTACAATCGAAGTCTGAAAGCAACAAAGATTCTATTATTTATCCGTACAAAAACATTTCAAAATAGATACTTACCCACTGATGCCACACTGTGGACATTTATGGCAGCCAAGAACTGAAATAATAAATTTACAGAGAAGGAATTATAGCCGCCACAAAATATTGCATGAAAAATGAGTAATTAATTGTTTTGAATAAAATACAATAGTAAGAACCTACTAGGAAAGTAGACCACATATTCTGGAGCATCATTTAGTACATAATAAATACACTAACACATCACATTTCCAATTTAATCGATAATTACTTGCTTTTTCAATCGTTTGAAAACTAAACCCGGATCTGGAAGTTTAATCTCTATGGTTTTGCCAAATCTACAGTCATTGTAATAACCATAAATCTCCAAATCTCTCATCAGACTGAAATCCAGTTTTTGTTGCAAATTTCATTTGCTTGTTTTTTTTTTGATTTTGAAGTTTCTCAAGGGAAGTTTTTGAGCGGAAATATCGGAACCTCGACAGCAAGTCGATATGATTCCAGATCTTTTAAGTACAATTTTTTTCAGTTTTTAACATCCTTTTCTGCGATAGATTCTCTTGCCACGACCTTTTTCACTGGATAAGCCCATTATTTTAGACTTATAGCGAGAATCCTGGAGGATTTGAGTGCCAAAAAATGTTATTTCGGACTAAATTAAGGGCATAAAATTGAATTTCAAAGATAATTTTTGGATTTGTTTTGCAAAATTTAATTCATCTATTCTAAGTAGCTATATATGTAATCAATGTAATGTATTTAGATAATCCAGTACCCTATTTTCAGGTGTATTAGGTTGTAACAGAATTAGTGCAGGTTTTGAATTCCAACCGCAATAAGTCATACACATCTCATTTCTAAGTAGGTTGCAAAACACCATTCGATAGAGCAAAGCAATCTCTACAAGGTGGCAATCTTGCTTTAGCAACAACTCTGATCCAGCACAAGTTTCGAGCCGAAAAGTAAAAAGATTCAACTGTCCGAAAAATTGAGAAAATTCGTAACTCAGTTCATAAAACACCTACAAAAATTCTAACTTGCTCACGTAAACACAATCCACATAGGGCATCTATACATGCCGTTGCCGTATTTTTTTCTCTGTTAGAAATCAAGTAAACGGAGATTTTCGTGCATTTGCCAAAGTGTTGCTGTGCCGTTCCCACATAAGTAGTTGTATACTACAAAGCTGTAGAAGTACAAACGTAAATTTTCAGCTCTCTGCGCTTTAGTTCTCGAGAAATTTGAATTCTAGCTTGGACCACATGACTAGCGAAAACTGTATTCGATATTTTCCGAGAACTAAAGCTTGTAGAGAGCTGGAAACTCACGTTTATACTTCTACAGGTTTGTAGCATACAACTACTTATGTGGGGACAGCACGGCATCACTTTGGCAAACGCACGAAATTTTCCGTTTTCTTGATTTCTAACAGAGAAAAAAATTCGGCAAAGGCGTGTTTAGATGTCTTATGTGAATAGTGTTTACGCGAGCAAGTTTGAATTTTTATTGATTTTTTATGAACTGAGTTACGACTTTTCTGAGCTTTCCGGACAGTTGAATCTTTCTAGTTTTTGGCTCGAAACTTGTGGTGAATCAGAGCTGTTGCTAAAGCAGGATTGCCACCTTGTTGAGGTTGCTTTGCTCTATCGAATGGTGTTTTGCAACCTACTTAGAAATGAGAAGTGTATGACTTACTGCGGTTAGAATTCAAAACCTGCATTAATTCTATTACAACCTAATATAAACCGCTCCTTTTTCGAAATTTCGAACAAGCTACTCAGTTGCTTCACTATGTTGAAAGCGATTCTTACGCGGCACTATTCATTCAGGCAATACGCAGCACGGCATAGGGTCCTTTGGTCGCGAGATCCTTTGGCGTATTTGGGCTATTGATTTTAGAAAAAATTCCTTGCGGCAACATATCTGTTCAAGGTCTTTTTGCGGTTAGATCTGTTACGGTTATACGAGACTACGATAAATCTTGCAGCATCAACGCGAATATGGCGAAAAACTTCAGTTTCTGTAGTTCCGTAGTTCACCTCAATTCGAACATACTCAAAATCTAATTTGCGAGACTTTTAACAGACTTGATGACAGACTGCTGTTAATGCTTATTGACATACTGTATATCATCTTATACCTTGCCATCTTTTTGACATTTAATCTGTTTTTTCATCTTTAAGCGCACAATGCGCGCGGTAACAGCACAGGTCAATCCTGGTATACTGAAATGTGTATTACTGAATGCACGTAGTATTGTGATAAATTGCATTATTGTAAATCGCTTTTGATATATTTGAGTTGATCTCGTGTTTCTGACTGAAACCTGACTTAAAGGCAGTGGCTCGGCAAACCCAAACATCTCGAATTTTGGTATGGAATGTTGCTTGCATCCCAAACATCAGGACAGAGCAGGTCGAGCGCACTATGCTGCCCCTGCCTGGGAAACTGCGCCGATACCCGTGCGCGCAAGCCATTCTTACACACGCGCTCGGACGAGCTTGCGGTCCCCTTCCCATCGTTAGAAACGGCACGCCGCAATGCGTTGAACATGATGGTCCCGCAACGACTCTACGCCTCTAACCATGGCGGGGAGTGATCCACTCGTCCAAATTCAAATTGGTGTGTGCCCTTCTGAACCGCTCCGTCCTAGCGCTAATTACTCTGCCCGGGCAACGCTAACTACGTCGCCTTCCTTATAATATATAAGAGTTTTCAAGTATTTCTGAGCGTTCCAAAGCAAGTGAGGCACACGGCAATTATAGCAAGGATTTTTGAATTATGAAGACAAGAAGTTGGGAAGGTTGCATGTTTCTAAGGCCATTTCGTGATTTCTTCGCCCTTCCCAGTTTTCAAAACACCATGAAGTCTGCACATGTAAGCTGAAGAATTTACCTAAGCTGCCCATATAAAACACTTTCGAGTTTCATGGGAATCGAGATCTTGTTTGATTCTTTTGTCTTGAGAATGCCTTTGCAGTCCAATTCAGACGTCTCTAACGACAGCATAGCTCTCGCTCACCCAAGCGGCGGCAGCACCGACCAATCAGAGGCGCGCAGTAATTGAGCTGCTAGTGTTAGCGGTTCAGAAGGACCGTCTCCCTCAAATTGAGAGCTCTTGGAAATTGCTGGTTTTCAACATTTTAGTGCTCTTTAAAGTGTATTTTCGAAATCAGCGCGTCGAGTTACCCCAGGTAAGCGAAAAAACTTTAAGTAGAGGATTTGCCGAGCCATTGCCTTTAAGCCAAAGATACACTATTCTGAGCTGTTCGGTGATCTGCCATATTCTATATGTCGCACTGACAGACCGAAGCGAAAAGATGGCGGTGTAAGCTGCCTTGTCAAAGGCTGTTTCTACATCAGACAATTGACTAGGTTTATGATTCGCGTTCTGATTTATTGGCCGTGGAACTTTTCTGTTCGTCGAGCTTGAATACTGTCAACTTCGTGATCGTGTATCGTCCACTTAACTCCACGCTGGGTGACGAAAGACAACTAATTGAGCCTCTCACCAATCTTTCCAATGGAAATAGTACACTTATTGTGGGCGATTTCAGTCTGCATATTGATTGGTTCAATATGAAGCATATCAGCCCTGAATCTGAACCATTCCTTGACTCTTCATCAACGCTGAATTGAAACTGCGTGTCTTATATCCAACTCACGCTGTAATGCCTACTTCAGAAAACGTTCACGATGTCGGACCCTATCCACCTTTGGCTTCTGCAGATCATAGCATCATTACATTTGAGTAAAAAGACAACTTTTTTGTCACATCTTATCCTATACCCGATTTTGTGCACTTTGACTACGTTTCTCTCAACAAGTATTTAGCTAAAGTTGATTAAACTGCACTGTTAACGTTTATGACTTGTATCTCAGACTCTGCCAAGTCATCTATACCAGGATGGTATTGTTTGGTACTACGAAGATTAATTGCATCTCTGGGTTGATTTATCCTGCTCATATTCGTTCGCTTATTACAGAAGTCTTATTTTGTTTAGTTCACCTCAGATTAGCCCCTGTATTAGAAAGTCTGTGCTGATATCGATCTGCACCTCAAAAAGTTTCTACCAGTAGCGAGGCTTATCAAGAAGTCTTCTATGAGAAATTTGTTTAGATATATTTACCACAAGTTACAAAGTAAGCTTAGGCTCCCAGTGTTAAAAGGCTCTGGGTTATACTTGCTGTAATGATTCCAGTAAAGCAGAGGCCTTGGGTGAATACTTTGCCACTGTGTTTGCGAATCCTTTGAGTATCATCGCCTCCTCCTCGCACCCTCCTTCTCAAAACGAACTGAATTCTGTTTATTTTCAACCTGCGGAAGTGAGAAGAGGCTTGAGGCCTCTAAAACTTTTGTGTATGGAGCCGCCCTATGGCATCCCTCAGATACTCTACAAAATGTGTGAAGATACTCTCGTCAAACCCTTGCTGGTGTAGTCAATCTTTCCCTATACTTCGGTGAGATTCCCTCTCTTTGGAAGGAGGCCACTGTTACAGTCGTGCCTTGAAACTTCCGCGCTGAAAGTGTTGCCGATTTTCGCCCCATTAGTCATAATTCTGTGCCCATCAAGATTATGCAAAGAATTATTAGAAGTGAGCTACTACTTTGGTTGGAGACGTTCCATCTTGTTTCGCCCGAGCACCATGCTTCGTGCCAGGCAAGTCAACTGCAACCAGGGCTCGGCACAGCTGTCACCGGGTCAAGCTGGATATCTTTTCTGGGGCGGAAAGCAAAGGGGATATCGTTTTTGCGGGTTAGATGCCTGTATGCTAGAATGCCAGTGGCACGCCCCCGGCAAATCGCCAGCAGCGTGCCCCTGGGACAAACAAAAGCCTTTTTTACAATCAAGAAATCATATGACACCAAATTTGGTGTGTGCATGCGCGTTGGGGGACTTTATATATGGCCCAAAAATTTATGAAAACTTATGTGAATTAAAGCTGTGCTGAATTTTTTTTTCTGAATTAGCTGGCACCGTGCCAGCTGGTTGCCAGCAGAGCTGGCACCGACCCTTCGCTCACATAAGTTTTCATACTTTTCTACATGAATTGTATCCGCACTGTAAAAGTTACATACAGAGCAAAAACAATTTCAAAATGTTTTGTTTTAGGCGTTTTAGAGCCATCTGAAAATTTCTCGGTCTGCTCCGCACTCGAAAAATCTGCTCCAATCACAAAGCGCGCCCTAAGCAAAAAACA